CGTTCTGGTCCCGTTGCAGAAAAAAACGCCCTAGTCATAATGTTTCCCACCCCCATGCATCACAGACCGTATACTGTACAATGGTTCTTGTCCTTCAGGCCTTTCTGTGTGGAGTTTGCATGTTCTCTGTGTGTCTGCGTAGGGTTTCTCCAGGTGCTCCGGTCTTCCCTGCCACTAACAGCATGTACTTGAATGTAAGTGAGTGAATGGAGGGTGTTGGTTTGACGCTTTGATGCACCAGTGTTTGGTGCATCAAAAATGGAACAATATCTGAACAATTGTAAAGCATTTTGGTGACCTTGGTCTGTATAATGCGCTATATAAATAAAGATCACTCACTTACTTATTTCTTGTTGTTCTGAGTAGGGCTGGGTGATATATTGTGATATAGTTTTCAGCCATAAGTAATTCATATTGGTCAATAACGATATACTATATTGATTATTATATTTTTATTTTTTAACCTGAATAAATACGTTTGTCGGCACACACAGTAGCAGCCTTGTTTACAGTCACGGGGGAATGAGGCTAGCAGAACTATTGACACGGTAGTGGATCTTAGATCCATGGACGCTATGCATGGTGCAGTTGTTGTTTTGTCATTTCCCAGAATGTTTTGCGGTTCATGCTTGGCTGTGATAGGTCGAGAAGCCTCTGCCTACAGTACATCCCCCAGAATGCTGCGCGCTTCTGACTCGACTTTACTTTCTGTGTTTGCTTCCTGTTTTTCCAACGGAGTGAAGTTGAACTATCGAACATTCTCTCGACCCCGTTTTATATTGATACTGTATATTGTTATCGTTTTATCGCCCAGCCCTAGTTCTGAGTATAGTGTAGTAAAATAGTATAGTAAACGTGGGAGGGTGATGTGTCAGATATGTTTAATACATTGAGTCAGAGTGGATTGCAATCAGAGATAATCTTGACTTTGTTCCATTGACACAGACAGAGCCATTCCAAAATAATCCTCCATGAAGTGAAGACGAGATGGCTGGTGCGTTGCCATGTAAGCAGGAGTTTTCTCAGTATTTATCGCATAACGCATTTCAGGAAAAAGGATAATTAAAGCACTAGGAAAGTAAAATTATCCAACACAGTAGTTTTTCTATGGCAACAGAGAGGAAGCAGTTCCAGCAGGGATGACCCAAAGTGCCCACACATGGAGAGTTAAACATGAGGTCTGCAGTGTTCCAGAGAATTCCTGTGAGTTTCCACATGTAAACAGGCTCTGAATGAGTGATAATGTAAGTACAGTGTGTGCTAACGGGAGATTAAGAGGCAACCCGGCCCCTCCGTGTACAAACATCAAGAGAAATATGTGTTCCTAAAGCAGGGTTTAAAATCTTGACTATTTGGATTGAGAGTTGGATTTGCTTTTGAACTTTAAACATGAATGTATGCATTGTATATACAGCTGTGAGTCTTGGTATCTATCTATAATGTACAGAGTGTCTGTCTCGCTGACTGTTTTATCAGGTTAACCCAAGCTTTTGTAAACGGCTTGCACATGGAGGGAACATTTACTTTGACCTCCTACATTCTGTATTAACATAGTGTATATAGGTATGGACAATGCAATCACGCTAGCTTTGTGAGTCCTACAGAGAAGTGCTCATGAATAAAGATTTTCTCCAACTCGCCTCATTCCATTTTCTTACAAGTAAATGTCTCTGTCACTGTTGTTTCACACTCACCATTTTGGGCGTAAATATCTGATTTAATGCTCTGTTTGAACCTGGTGTTTTTAATGTGACAATGTATTTGTAAATCTAGTATGTGTCCTAATAAGTGACCAATTAGGCGCCTTCTCTCCCCGTTTTTGACTTTAGTTAACGAGTAGTGCATGCGAGAATAAACCAGAGCTGCTCTTGATTGGCTGTTTGGTTGCTAGGTTGTTGCTATCCACAAATTCGAGTCCAGATTCCTGCTTTGATTGAGCTCCATTTTGCAATTTTTCCACAATAAGGCAAAACAATCTAAAATCTCAAAGTTTCTGCGGGCTATTGAGCTCCCCAACAAACCTGCACAATTTAATTCATCTTCAATTTGAATAGCTAAATCACAACAGCCGTCGCTTCGGAGGACATTTTGCTTCACCAACAGCAGATCAGAGAATCATAGAGAGTTTGGACAAATGCAATAATAACAAACACACGGAGCACTATAGCCGTGAGCGGACCACAACAGACAGAATTTCATCAGCTCTGTAAACACCTCTGTCTCTGCTGTTACACACTGGTACTAGCTAATCAATAGTGGCTACATTCTTTCATAACTGTGCATGTCTCTGCTTAGGCTCCATCTCTGCCACATACTTCAATGTGTTCCTGGGCAAGACACTCCCATCCATCATCCCCGAGAAGAATGTGTTAATAGGTCTGGGATATTTGGTTAGTCCTTTGGTTAATATAATGGTATAGTAGGTTTGCAGCTTGTAAAAACACCTTAAACTATAAGAAGCAAGAGTATATTGTAAAATGGGCCGTAAAGCTGTGTTCCCACCGATGCATGGACTGCGTTGATGGAGGCATACTTTGCGATGGGGAAAAGCACAGGATGGAGGTGGTTGGTCGGGCTTTAATACTAACGAGTTTAATAACCAGTACTTCCTTATCGGCGAACACGTTAGCGGCACTTAAACAAGTGCCACAGTCACAGTAGAATGTCAACTCAGGGTGAAGTAAACACTGACCCCCATTGTCAGCCCAAGTTTTATTCTGGTTTAGGTTATGTTTTGGCTGTTTTCGAGAGTCTTCCTCTTCCTGTTTGGACCGGCGTGTGTCCCCATGACCACTTTTCTCCTCTCTGATTGGTTTCAGCACGTGCTTGGGGCGAGCATGTTCAGTGAGTCTCATCTCCTGCTTTCGCTGTCTGCATCGAGCCGTTGTACCCGACGCCACCGCCTCTGCCGCGCCGCAATAAGGCGTCTGCCGCACGGGACAAAAGTGCATGCCGCGTTGTACATGCAATTCCTTGCATGGACGGACGTACACCATTGACTTTGCATTGAAACTCGCAATGATCCGGTGGGAACACACCCTGAGCCATATCCATCCATCCATTTTCTTCCCCTTAATCCATTTCTGGGTCGGGGGGTGGTAGTCAGAGCTTCACCCAGTACACATAGCACCAGCCCCACTCTGCTTGAGCCATAATCATTAGAAATATGTTAAAAAACAAACGATAGTCAACTTTCACTATATCTATACTGTATACGAGTCTATATCATGTATTTGTGTCACATTTGAGGTTAAATTACAGAAATCTCTTTAGCAATTTTCTATTTTCAAAGTTTTACAATGTTACAAAGCCTAATTTTGATCAATTTGGAATGCATTTGAGCACAACAGCATAATACAAGAGTAGAATTTTTGCTACTACGGTTAGGAAACATTACATGCACACCACATTTATCCTGTAGGGAATATTGTTTGTGGACATCAAAGGCTATTTTCTGAGGGCGGATTATCTGATTCATACATACGCAATTATTCCTGGATTATAATTTTGCAATGCACTAGAAATCAACCGCAATGAGTTTGAGGACGTTTAAGGCTTTTACAAGTTCAGATCAGCCTCACATTTCATTCCATTGCATAACTTCAGTCCGTACAATACTCCTGCTCCATGATAACTCACACTTACGTAACTGATTCCTGTATTTTGGCTTTGGGATTGTTTGGTATTCTGACTCCGGTTTCCAGAGCGATGGTCAGATCAGATGTTGACCTGCTCTGGGCCTCAGGGGAATCATTACACTGTTTTTGTTTGGCTCAAAGTAAAAACAGACAAAGTTAAATGGGCAGTTTAGACAAAAACCGGGGCATCTGAGGTCAACCCAGATGATTGCAAACGCGTTCAGAGAGAGAGAAAAATGCAAACCAACAATATTGACGTTTGGAGCCAGCTTTAATTACTGTTTGGATCCATGTGTTGACAAAACATTTTTTTTTTCCGACAAATCCACTCAGAAAATCCTCCAAAAACAAAATTAGTTTATGGTTAAAGGTTATTATAATAATCTGGTTAATACTCAGGGCTGAACAATACGAAGTTTGACAAAATACAATGTTTAAAGCTGGTGTAATTAACTTATTTCCTTTCCCATACATCAAACTCGAGGGCCAGCTCCGGTCTGTGGGGCCAAAGACTTAAAACCCAGGAGGACAGGGTATCTTGTCCTAAGACACATTTTTACTCTCTGGCTTTTAACATGGCGGGAGTTGTGTGTTCCTCTGTTTTTTCTGCTTTATTATCTTTTTATTTATTTATTTTATTTTTATTTATATTGGATAAACAGTATTATATTGTTTTTATTATATTCTTATTCTTAATTCATCAAAGTGTTTTATGTATTCTATGTTTTTATACATACAAATATGGCAAACCTGCATTTAATATATGTGTTACTTTTATCTCTGTGCAGAGATAAAGCAGCAACTTGTTTTAGAAAAAGTTCTGGATAGGATGTTAATTGTCTTTCCTGAAAATGAGAGAAAGGGCTCTCCCTTGTCCACCTTCAAAACTAGGTTGAAAACATATCTTTTTAGTGGTGCATACAACGGATTCTGTTTTGTACGAGATAAGTTTTAAGCACTATTTATCTGTTTTTTTTTAATGCAGTTTCAGCCATGTATCAGCTGTTGTGGGGAACTTTGAATATCCTTGTACACTGATTGTGCCATTAGAATAGATTTTGCTTGATGATGGATGGCATAGGACACTAACCTTTTAGTCTGTATCACAGCACCTGGTATGTTGGTGTTGTTAATGTTGAAAAGTCATGTTTTTATTTTCATTTCAACCAATTAACACCAGGAATGAGGACCAGAGTAAACATGGACATCCCTGGAGAATAGCGTCATTACTCATATTCTGTTTTGGAGCAGCAGTTCAGCGCAGGGCTCGACATTTCACAGAAGAAAGGGTCAAATCCAGTTCAGTTTTGATGAGTTTCACACTACAGTTACAGTGAAAACAGGAAGTGAGCGTGCTCTGACCTGGAGGAGGGTCTCTTTGGGAGTGGCCAGCAGATTAACGGCAGCTGACAGTTTCTGGAAGAATTCGGCCGCCACGTCAGACAAACCGATGCTCTGCGTGAAGTCCATGAGGAGGTCCAGGTTAGCGCGGATCTGGACGCCCCTGGACCACTGGTAGAAGCCCACCACTGAACCTGGGAGGGACAACAGGAAGAAGCATTCATTATGAAAATATGATGAACAAACAATAGGTGACGCAGGAGGGTCGAACACAAGGACAGTGGTGATGACATTTATGGACATCGGTCGTCTGCTTCTTATGGACCAATATCAATGTGTTTTCTATCATTGCATTTCTTGTGTTTGAACTGTTTGATTCTCTGATCTGTGTTGGAAAATTCAACGGTTTTGTAAAGTTCTCTGAGATCACAACTGTTGTTAGGGCTATACCAGAATAGATTTAATTTAATTCTTCCCATGGACCCACCACCTGCGGGAGGATAAGCGAGGGACTGGGGCTATGAGCATTGGGTGGCAGATTGCCTCTACCCCAGCCTAGAAATGGAATAACAAAGGGGTAGAGGATGAATGAATCAATGAATGAATTGAATAGTTGATAGGGGACCCTCTCCGACCCCTCTCTCTGGGGCCAAAATTCCCCAGTTTCTGAAATCTCAGTGGGACTTTCCAGGTAAAATAAAAGGTCCAGCTGGACAGTAGTCAGTATCATTGGATGGTTTCCCAAGATGTTGGTCCAATATCTTCGGCACAACTTCTGAGAATTATCTTTGGCTAAAAGCATCCTGATGCATGCAACAGACTACTGTACGACAGTTGTATTTTCTGTATTTGTTCCTGCTCAAATAAACCAAATAATGATAATGAATAAACAATTAAAATAAAGTTAAGCAACTTTTCCACCACAACTCTGTCATGTTGGATTTACTTGATAAAGTCAAATAAGTTCATCAATACGGTTTCATTTAATTGACATAACAATTAAGTTAATACAAGAGAAATCATTTTTGAAAGGTGGCTGATCTTTAGCCATGAGATCCAACAGTTTATTTCTAGCGTGTGGCAAATACACGTTGTGACGGAATGTTTGAAAGAAACATAATTTTAAGAGTTTCATTTGACAATTGTTAATCTAAAGTAATCAAACCTAAATGCAATGACATTTTTTACCATGTATTATGACATTGATGGTGGGTTCAGACTCAGCAAAATACACCGAATTCTGAAAACAGTAATATTAAAACTTTCTGAAAGTGTTTGACTCACCTCTCTCCATGAGTGCATTGAAGAGCGAAGCGTTGATGAAGAAGAAGAGGTAGGCACAGAGCTGGAGGGAGATGTCCGGATGCACCTGGAACGCCGTCAGCAGCTTGAGCGCCTCCTTCAGGACGTCCAGCACATGACTCAGGCCCTCGGGAACCTTCAGCTGTCCCGTGTCCGAGAACGGGTTCCCCTCCAACAGCCCGGGCAGCGCCGAGTACATGATCTGTGGACCAAGCAACAATCGGAGAAGTTGTATTTATTTTTTGTATTTGATTTATTGGTTAATTTCAAACCTGGGTCCAACATGAAAAATAAACAGAAAACACATGCGACAAGGCACAGGCCAAAACACTCTCTGACCCAACAGAGAAGGAGAGAGAGCTGCAACACATAAGTTTCAGTTTATTTGCTATTTACAGTAAAAAATGAAAACACACAGGTTGGAAGTGTCAAAGAACCTCAACAAACAAGTTAATCAAGAAAACAAGCTAAAAAGTGCGGGAAACCAAAACTAGTTAGGTGCTCTTTGGAGGTTGTGGGTGATATATTTATTGCAAAATCTGCTTGGGAGACGAACAGACAAAAACTCCAAGGCACTCCAACGGTTTAAGTTAAAAATCCTTTATTTGAACATGGCTTAGATGATTTTAAAAACACACCAACACGTGTCAGTACCTTGTCTTCCTCAGGGTTCATGAACACACAGGCGTAGGCTCAGCTTTTTAAAGGGGCGGGGCAACAGGGTTCTGCCTCAGTGATGGGGAGTATTTACAGTTACAAAAATGCACAAAGTGGACTCTCCGACCCTACACCTCTCTCCCATCACTCTCTCCATGTCCTTCTTAAATTGGGTTTTAACTTGGAGTAGGTCCAATTAAATGCTTTAACCATGTTTCTGCATGTTTCGGTACTTTTTTTAGTTCCTACTTGGTCCAAGCTGGTACTAAAGTGTTCTAACTGACTGTGATTGACCAGAGGGCTTCCGAAGACCTTTCCCTGGACACTGGTTTGCTGTGGATAGGTTGCTAGGATACAAAACCAGATACCGATGATCAAAATAATAATTACTTACAGCCCTTCAGTCTCAACCCATGAGTATAGTCCAGGTGTAGTGCTTTTACCATCTTAACTTCTTGTTTTTTTCCACGTTTTTTTTCCATCGTAGTTTGAGGTGAAATTGCGTACAGGAAGTGCTAATAACATGACATAGATTTTTTTCGTGCGTAATTTGCCGCATTCCTCGACACACTGTGTTTGTGTAGTCCCAGCAGACGCAGAAGGAAGGCACTCGCAGAATATACAGGAAATTGTGCCGAGCAAAACACAAAGGCCCCGTGTCACGTCCAGGATCCTCTGGTTAGAGACTTTTGAGTGATTCTCAACCTGTGTGTCCAACAGCACAACAGCTGTTTAAGTCACTTTTAGACTCTGTGGGTTAACAGCAGGAACTACAACAACACAAGTACCAAGAGTCCATGAAGAAGAGATTTGACCAGAAAGGACTTGTACTTGTACTTGTGTGTGTATGTAGTGCCTGGGTGTGTGTAGTGTAGTGTAGTGTGTAATGTGGTGCATGTGTGTGTGTGTATGTGTGTGTGTGTGTAGTGTCTGGGTGTGTGTAGTGTAGTGTAGTGTGTAATGTGGTGCATGTGTGTGTGTGTGTGTAGTGTCTGGGTGTGTGTAGTGTAGTGTAGTGTGTAATGTGGTGCATGTGTGTGTGTGTGTGTGTGTAGTGTAGTGTGTAATGTGGTGCATGTGTGTGTGTGTGTAGTGTCTGTGTATGGGTGTGTGTAGTGTAGTGTAGTGTGTAATGTGGTGCATATGTGTGTGTAGTGTCTGTATGGGTGTGTGTAGTGTCTGTGTGTGGATAGTGTGTATAGAGTGTCTATAGTGTATGTGTGCGTGAATGTGTTTGTTTGTGTATGAGTACAGTGCCCGTGTATAGTGTGTGTGTGTGTGTACAGTATAGTGTCTATGAGAGTGTGCTTGAGTGCGTGTATTTGTGAATGAGTATAGTGTCTGTGTGTATAGTGTGTGTATAGAGTGTGTATAGTGGCTCTGTGTGTGTGTGTATATAAAGTGTGTATGTACAGCGTGTATAGTGGTCTTTGAGTGTGTGCATGAGTGTGTGTGTTTGTGTATGAGTATAGTGTATGTGTGTATAGTGTGTGTATAGAGTGTGTATAGGGTCTATGTGTGTGTATAAAAGTGTGTATGTACAGTGTGTGTCATTCCAAATAGTGTGGAGGCTAACCAACAGGAGAACTCAACAAAAACAAAAATACTGAAAAATTGGTAATGATTTCTCAGAATTAGATAACTATTGGATTGTGTATCATTAAAACGTGTCATTTACTACTAACTATCCGGTACCACTGCTGTATTCAAAACAAGATTTGGCAAATATAAACAAGAAGTTGTAAATTACATAAGTTATTTTAAACGTACACAAAGTCGGGATGTCTTTAGTGCGGTAAACACAGCTCCAGACTGTAGCCATAATTTGACAGTAGATCTGCCAATCCAAACACGGAGGCCTCTCATGTGGAGCTGCTGTTTAAATACCTTAAATTCCTCAGACTAAAGACAAGTTAATGAATGAGAGGAGATGGGAAAAACTCAAAGTTCTACCACGTTTTTTTTTTTTTTATTGACTTTGATTTGCAGGTGCAGAATACCACATGTCCTGCTAACCGCTATGGAGATGTTAGCATGTATCTAGACTCAATAGCTGTACATATAATATTGAATGGACTTCTAGTCATGGCCACAAGCTGCAAGGTCCCGTTTTACCCTGCGTCCTGAACAAATCCGGATTTATTAATTCATTTATGGATACACAACGCTCTGCATGGCTAATTGATTATGTAATGATGACGGTCTAGCAATACAACTCCAAAACAATCGAAACTTATGGCCTTTGGAGCGTAAAAGTACGGGTAAAACTAATGCTAGCCAAAGAAGCTATAAGCAAAGAGATGACAGCTATCGTCGATACCAGCGAGACACCATCATCGATAATGTCCTGTATGTCGTCAAAGAAGTCTAAGTTCTGGAAGCTTCAATGATGTTATGAAAGGTGCGACAGGCAAAAACAGGTGGCTGAGTCAAACCGGTCCCCAAAGGGCTGGCGTGGCTGCAGGTTTGTATTCCAACCAAGCAGGAGCACACCAGGACTGCACCGATTTCCTTAGTTGAGTCCAGTCTTATCCTGAATACTATCCTGAATGCTAGGTTTCCTCCGGGTGCTCCACTTACCTCTAAAAACTTGTACAATAGGTCCCTCCAGTCCTGACTGAGAGCATCTACATCTGGAGATAGATTCCATAGTGTTGTAAAAAGATTGTAGAATTTTCAACTGTCGGGTTAAATCTACAGATATTCTTAACTGAGCCAAAACCCTGATCTTGGATCCAGTTTCCTCCGGGTGCTCCAGCTTCCCCTACCACTAAAATCTTGTACAATAGGTCCCTCCAGTCCTGAATGAGAGCATCAACAGCTGGAGATTGGTCCGAGGGAGGCCCTAGTGGCATAAAAGGACAATGAAGACTGTATAGTTCATACACAAGGCCAATTTACCATAGTCGTAGTTTTTAGCAGCTTGCCGAACAAACAAAAAAAAATCCCATCAAAGAACTTATAATTCACGAGACCACATTTCACTGCATGTTGTAAAAGAAACTTTCCAAACACTGGATTTCACTTTGTTGTATTATTAAAACGGCTCTGGAGTACTCCCGTGGCTGTAAATCTGTTCATGGGGTTGGATCGTCTCAAAGGGAGGAGTATAAACATAATTAGAAAAAGATTGAGTCGTGGCGAAAGCTGCAGACTCGAGTTTCAAGGTGTTTTACTGACCCGCAGTGACAGAGTTATAGGTTCGATTCTTATCAGCAGAATCTGAGCAGACGTGAGGGAGGAAGAGGACGGTAAACGGAGCTTTGTTAGGGCCGTGACATCAGCTGCAGTTCACGACATGACTAAGAGAAAACTGGGGAGGAGGGAAGGGAGCTACATTCTTCAAGAAAAACGTCAGAGGGAGATTTAAGAGGCCTTATAAATGACATGTGAAGATCCTGCAGGCACCGAGCAACAGAAACACATGGGAGGTGTAATAAGCCAGGGCTGGGAATCTATTTTTTCCCTTGTTTATAAGAAAAATGACTCAAAACATAACCCCCAAATAAGAGCAAAATCCTCTCTGTGTTTTGAGGCTGTAAAACTCCTCACCAAAAACGTGTTTAAACTCACGACTGCTGAAGTGAAAGAGAGCAGAGATATCAAACCTGGTAGTTTTAGGTCTGGGTGCTGCTGCAGCTGTCAAAAGCTGTGCGTACACTGTTAAATACAGCTGCAGAGGATATCGCGGTGAGGGGCAGGAGCAGGACTGAGTGCTATAGTCAGATCAGAGAGAGAGAGAGCAGAAAGAGACTAGAGTGAGAGAGAGAGCAGAAAGAGACCATAGAAAGAGAGAGAGAGAGAGAGCAGAGAGAGACCAGAGAGAGACTAGAGAGAGAGAGAGAGAGGAGAGAGACCAGAGAGAGAGAGAGAGAGAGAGAGACCAGAGAGAGACTAGAGAGAGAGAGAGAGAGCAGAGAGAGACCAGAGAGAGACTAGAGAGAGAGAGAGAGAGAGCAGAGAGAGACCAGAGAGAGAGAGAGAGAGAGAGAGACCAGAGAGACCAGAGAGAGAGAGAGATACCAGAGAGAGAACAGAGAGAGAACAGAGAGAGACCAGAGAGAGAGAGAGAGAGACAGACCAGAGAGAGACTAGAGACAGACCAGAGAGAGACCAGAGAGAGACTAGAGACAGACCAGAGAGAGACCAGAGAGAGACCAGAGACTAGAGAGAAAGGGACCAGTTAGAGCTAGAGAACAGAGAGAGACCAGAGAGAGAGGGACCAGTTAGAGAGAGCAGAGAGAGACCAGAGAGAGAGAGAACAGAGAGAGACCAGAGAGAGAGAGACCAGAGAGAGAGAGAACAGAGAGAGACCAGAGAGAGAGTCCTCTGAACTTATCATCACAGTTCACGCAAGACAGACAACTGTTTTCTTCTAACTTAAATAAAGCTAATTGCGGTGTTATATTAGCGGATATGATGTGGTTTATGATGTCGTTGGAGTAAAAGTACAAGGCGCAGAAGAAGCACGCTACAAAAAAAAAATAGAATTGCCGGCGGGTCTCGCAAATGATAAGTCAATCAAATATCGATTGTGAGATCAAATGTTGCAATACTACACATTATAGTATGTGCAAAGAATAGTGGACACTTTAGGCTGACAGCTGATTGGCTGAGTGAGGGTGGTCCTCTCTTTTTCACTTTTCTGTATGGAAAAGTTGATCAAAAAATGTGTCAAGAGGCCAAAATGAAGGCAAAACTAGTCAATCAAACTGTTTCTATATTTACAAGCTAAATATATGCTGTGAAAGTTAGGTATCTCAGCTTTATCTGTGTGAAGTATGTCCATAATTTGTCTGTGAAGTTCAACAAAAGGGCTCAACACTCACACGGTCCTCATTGTTTAGAAAAATCAAAACATTTTTTTTTTTTCAAATCCACTGAAGAATTGTTTTTTTCATTTGTCTTCATTAAAGTAATAAGAGGGAAAAAGCCAGAGAGCAGATATAGAAACAGTCCTGACTGATTTAGCCTGTCATAATATAATCAATTACACAACTGTTTTAAAAGTCTATAAGAAAGGAAAGACAAATATCTACACTTTATCAACACCAAGTCATTTCTAGTCGGAAATTAAGATTTTAAAACATCCTCCTCCCTTCCTCTGCTTCCTCTTTCAGGCGTATCTCGGCAGACAGTGGCCTTCCTCAGAGGAAACGCACCACTCAAAAATTCAACAAAAACTCAAAAATACTCACAGGCAGAACATGGCAACAGCCGTAAAAGGTAAAACATGTTTTTTTGGATGCGTTGTTTCAATCTCTAAATGCATTTAAAATTGAGCAACAAATCTGAATGTATCTGCTTCTCCAAATGATTAACTTGTTACAGCCCTCTACTGTATGAACGAATGAAATGTATCTGCTGGCCTTGTCTCAGTAGTATCCAGTTTCCAATCAAACTGTTTTTAATACACCAATCGGCACGCACTAAACCGTTTATCTCAATCTCAATTAATATGGAAAAAGCAAAGTTATCTGCTTTTCACACAGACCCTATATTCTACGTTTCTGCTTCTTTTGTGCCTTGATCTCCTCCTCCTCTGCACAGACAGACTTTACGGCACTTGGACGTGGGAACCTCGTATAAAGTGTCAATGTGGGGACAGTAAACTGGAGACGTGTGTTTATCTGCACCACAAAGCTACGCTCATCTACAAACAAGTGTGAGGCAGACGGCTGATGAAAAGAAATATTTAAACTTAAGAACAGAAGCACAACATTTCATTGAGTTATCTAAAACAATAAAATAAAATGTTTCCATAATTTTACTTTAACCCTTGTGCTACACTTGGGTCTAAAAGGACCCGCCACAGATGAGACAAAGTAGAAGATAAATACCCAAATTTGGGTCTAAATGACCCGGGACTGGTCAAGTTAGGAAACGTCAACCTAAAAAATAGTTTTTATATACTACAGCTACAACCTCTTTTTCCATGCAAAACATGCAAGTACTATTTAACCCTCTGTATACTACCTTTATGGTAAAGCTTACAACTAGCATGCACTTAATTAGGAGTAGGTCGGACATAGCTGCTTTTACAGAACTCTCTATTGGTGAAAACAACAGGTTTATTACATGAAAAATGAGATGCTAAAGCAGCTGTATAAGTTAACAGGCTTGTGCTCATCTGGATATAAATGTGTCCGAGTAATGAGTGGACGCCTTTTTGGTAGAAAATGCCGCATATAATAAAGTCTAATTGAAGCGCACAGACTGGTTGGTATGTCAATTGCAGGCTTTTAATCTGGGGTACCTAACAACAACAAAAGTAACTCTGTAATAAAATCTATGTATCTAGAATCAGCGTTGGGAGAGATGCGTTACATTTTCCAACCTTCAGCTCAAAGGGGCAGAGGCGTCACAGCAGCGCAGAAATGGCCACTCTTACTCTCAAAGCAGTTTGGTTCTATCTCTATAGTTCTATCATGTATGTGTTTTTGCCCTTTTAGCTTTTTCAAAGAGAAAAGTGGAAAAGAGATGACCACGCTCACTCAGCCCAAAGCCTCAAGTAGTGACACACAAGGATGCAAACGAAAACATGTTTTCTAAGAAGAAGAAGACAGTCTGTTGTGGTCTGGTATTTACTTTGGCCAGATTCTGATTATTTATGGGAAAAAGTGAGGAACCTCAGCTTTAATTATCCCAAACATGCACGTGTGGAATGTTTGTGTCCACTGAACCCAGGTGAAAGCTCCAAACCCAAACTTTCTCAGCGTTGTAAGTTCAACACGCCGCCGTTGCCGCGGGAGAGAGCAGATTGTGTGTGTTTGTGTTCGAAGACTCCCTCAGGTTCGGTATCTCGCAGCTTTTTCCTGAGACCAGCGGCTTCTTCTGGTGTTTTGAGTCTGGACGTTTCTCAATCAAAACAAATGAGAAGTTTACTCAGGCTGCTATCCGCTCGCAGGACGGGACGGAGGGTTATCAGTCCGCAGAGGTGTGTGTGTGTGTGTGTGTGTGTGTGTGTGTGTGTGTGTGTGTGTGTGTGTGTGTGTGTGTGGGGCTGGACTTTCACATGGACTCATCATCACTTTCTATCAGACATTTTGAGTTCTTTGAAAACAGTAAAAAAAGGATTTGCAATAACTAATGATTAAAGATCCAACTTCCTGAGACGAGGACTGGTCAGAGGAGAAGAAGGTCCTTTATTCGTCCCACAATGGGGACATTTCAGTTTGATGCATACACATACACATATACACATATACACATACACATATACACATACACATATACACACACACACATACACATACACATATACACACATACACATATACACACACACACATACACATACACATATCAAGGCAAGCAGCGAACATCACTTCCGCGCTCCTTATAGGCAAAGTGGGATAAGTGTCTGAAAGTATTTTGTTTCCTAAGTATTTAGACTGCATAATGAGGGGCAGAGGGAGCATCTACACCTAGAGAGATAACTTCATTTGTATTCAGTATTTATGAATCCAGTTTTATCTAATTGACTAACAATTTGTAAAGTGTGTGTATTTCTGGATGACTGGATCACCTCTATCTATCTATCTATCTATCTATCTATCTATCTATCTATCTATCTATATCCCACATATAATACCATATGAATTGACTTACAATTTGTAGAGTGTGTGTATTTCTGGATGACTGAAACACTTGTGATTCTATCTATCGATCTATCTATATCTATTTAAATATCTATACCCATCTAAATCCATCTATATTAAAGTATAACATCTATGTCATTTCCCTGGTCCATAGAGCTTGGTATTGGAACGGCATTCTTCATGAACAGTGATTGTAGTGTACTCAGGGATTTTTTTTTCCTCACTTTGATTTTCCTGCACAGTGAGAATCTGGACAAGAGGAGGGACTTTCTCTGCCTCCGCACCAGCTCTAGTCTCTTTGCTCACATTGTACCTCATTCACAGAGGTGTTTGGAGCAGTCCCTAAGCACAGATGTCTCTCTATTCTCAGAAAAAAGTGGAAAAAAGACTTGTGGATACGCCTTGAGGCATTGAGGAAATTGAGCAATATTCAAAATGCCATGCTGCATTTAGCCCGGTTTAGGATTTAGTTCTGAGGTCTACACACAAAGCAACATCCACATACTCTTTTCAGGGCTCACGACTGCCTGTGCCTATCGGAGACTGTTGTGATGATTACAGGACTCCGAAAAACGTTTGCCAGAGTGATGCCACGACAGACTCCCTCTTCCCTTCCCCCCGACCCTTCAGCCCGAACGCCCCCCGCTGCTCTCTCACCTTTGTGATGTAGTAGACGGACTGCTGGAAGGTGAACATGATGACCTCCTCCAGGACCGTCATGGCTTCTTCACACGCCGTGCGAGTGGACGACATCTCCGAGTCTCCGGCTGAAAAAACAAACACATCCATAAGTCTACATCCGCATGAAGTCAAAACGCCTCTATAGTTTCATCCAAAAATGTCAGAGTCAATATGGCTGAAAATGCTGTGAAACCATGCCAGGCCTGTTGGTGGCGCTGTGACTCAATGGGATCAAGGCCAGACCTCCGTGAAGGGATTTAGTGGGTATGCTCACTTGCGCAGAAATGTGTAAACTGACAAAAGGAATCATTTCCAATAAGTAATTGTGCATCTGCTCTCTTTCCCTCCCACCTGTCTCCTCTTCTTCTCTCCTGTCTGTCTTCTCATCTCTATCCTCTCCCTTCCCCTCTCCTGTCTCTGCTCTCACTCCTTTCCTCTCCTCTCTCCTTTGTTTCTCTCTCTCCTCCCTTTTGTCAATCCTCTCCTGTTTGTCTTCTCCTCTCTACCCTCTTCTAGCATTTCCTCTCTAACACTTCACTCCCCTCTCTCCTCTTCTGTCTCTGCACTCCTCTCTCTCCTGCTTCTACTACCCTCAGGCCTGTCTCTCCTTTCCTCTCTATCTCTCCTCTCCCCTGTCTCTCCTCTCTCTCCCCTCTCTCCTGTCTCTCCTCTCCCCTGTCTCTCCTCTCCCCTGTCTCTCCTCTCCCCTGTCTCTCCTCTCTCTCCCCTCTCTCCTGTCTCTCCTCTCTCCTGTCTCTCCTCTCGCCTCCCCTCCCCTCTCTCCTGTCTTTCCTCTGTCTCTCTTCTTCTCTGTATCTCCCTTCCTCTCCCTTCTCTCCTCTCCTCTCCTGTCTCTCCTTTTCTCTCTGTCTCTCCCCTCTCTCTCTTCCGTCTCTCCCCTCTCCTTTTCTCTCCGTCTCTCCCCTGTCTCTCCTCTCGCCTCCCTTCGCCTCTCCTGTCTTTCCTTGTTCCCCTCTCCTGTCTATCCTTTCTTCTCTGTCTCTCCCCTTGCTCCTCCCCAGTCTCTCCTCTCCCCTGTCTCCCTTTGCCCCTGTCTCTCCCCTCTCTCGTCTCTCCACACTCCTCTATCCCCTCTCTCCTCTCCACGTATGCAGAAATGTGAAAACAGACAAACACCCAAGATTGAAGACTGTATTTAATTTATGCTTTGGTGACCTTTACTGCATATTGCTTTACTCACACTAATTCAATACTCTATCCCTGTCTATGCCCCTTACGTTACTTACTGCACATGTATGTTTTGTACCTTCTTGGTTGTGGTTGTACGGCAGCAGCTGTGGGACCTCGTGTTGCACAAAGTGAAGCAGCTCTATGGAGTTGGCCATCCACAGAACCAGAGGACGCAGACCTGGGATCAGCTGCTCCGTGCTCAGCTCCTGCTCTGCTCCTCCCTCGCTGCAGGAGAGACACCAAAAGTTTCTGTTTTGTCCTGGGTGCAAAGTTCTCTAAAAAAATCCTCATCCAAAACTGGACAAGACTTTTCCCAACGGAGAATGACACGTAAGACCGCTATAGAGTTTCATCTTTCTCCGTGCAGATATTGGTCCCGCTTATAATTTACAGTAAATACAGCATCAGAGGCCAAAACTACAGGGCCTCAGATTACAAAGATAACATCGACAAGCTTGTATTCCAAATTATTCTCTAGAAGACTTCCTTTTTTTAAAGCTTTTTTTCAGACTTTTTGTAGATAATAGGAACTATAAAGTATTCCTCATGTATTATAACTTTACATTTTTTGAAATGTGTTTATTTCATGATCTGTTTTCCAGATGGAGAATGGCAGGTGAAATTGCTTTGGAGTTTCATTTTTCTCTGTGCAAATATTGGTTCCACTTATTACTATTAGAATAAATATATAATCAGACAGAAACCTAAACTGGAGGACTACAGCGTCGCAAAGAGCCAGTCACTCCTGAATTGAAACATCCTCAGGTAGATTCCTTTTAGATTTTGACAATTTTTCCAGCATTTTTGAAGAATGTAGCAGCTAATGAAATATACCTACTGTATATAAGTATTTCCTTTTTTATTTATTTTTTTGATTCACAGTTTTAATCAAAAAGTGAGCATAAATACGGACATTACATAAAAAAACAGAAAGAAAAAATAAATAAAAGAAAAAATGAAAATAAAGAAAAAGATTGTTATGACATATGATTTGAATTTTTTTTATTTTATGTGTCAAACCTCTGCTGTTTTCCTACAGGACAATTGAATATAACACTGAGGAGACTCGTTCCAGCACCCACAATGCCCTTTGACAATACTGTTTATTTCTGGGACATATCTCGCGGTCGGACTACTCACATTTCTGGCTGAATCGCGGCGAGCTTCTTTGTCTTGTCCTAAAACGTGCAAAAACACACAATAAAACAAAACTATCCATTTCACACCTGAGTGCAAATCTAGCAAACTTCAAGCCGATCTGAGTGCATTCCTACACCCTTGATGGCACATATGATTACAGGACATTATTCCCCACACAATAACTGAAAATTGGCTTCGAAAAGATAACATTTAGCAGGACGGCTTCTGCACTCAAAAGCTTTGTGTGCGAGAAGATAAATGGCCCACATAAGCTGCAGGATTTGACTGGCCATGCGAAGGGGTCGCTCTCTCAAATGCGCCAGCTCAAAAGTCTGCATATTTCTGGATAACTGAATCACTTGAACATCTCTATATATTTATGTCTATCTGTCTATAGCTATTTTTGCATTCATCTATCTGTCTATATCTGTCTATCTGTCTATCAATCTATCTTTCTATAGCTATCTTTTCAACATTATATCTGTCTATATCTGTCTATATATGTACAGTACAGACCAAAAGTTTGGACACACTTTATCATTCAATGAGTTTCCTTTCTGTTCATGACTAGTGACAGTAGATTCACACCCAGGCTGTGTAAGGGCTGTTTGACCAATAGGAGAGTGGTGGTGCTGGGCTAGATGACCTCCACAGTCAGCGGACCTGAACCCAATCCAGATGGTTTTGGGGTGAGCTGGACCACAGAGTGAAGGCGAAAGGGCCAACAAGTGCTAAGCATCTCTGGGAACTCTTTCAAGACTGTTGGCGACCATTTCAGTTCCTCTTGAAGCTCATCAATAAATGCCAAGAGTGTGTGAAGCAGTAATCAGAGCAAAAGGTGCTACTTTGAAGAACTTAGAACAGACATATTTTCATGTTGTTTCATTTTTTTTTTTTAGTTATGATAATAAAAAAACCTCTTTGAATGAGAAGGTGGTCTGTACTGTATATCTGTCTATATCTGTCTTTCTATCTATATATGTCTGTCTATCTGTCTATGTCTATCTGTCTATATACAGTATGTCTATCTCTCTTCCCTGGTCTATAGAGCCTGGCCTTGGATTGTTACTCTTCTTGATAAATATTTAAAGTGTATTTAGCTATTTGTTAATTCATGATTGTCCAACAAAGTGAGACAATCACATACGGTGTTGATCCTTACCCACATAATCTGCTGGATCTGACTGGCCATACGAAGAAGCAGTTTTCTCAAATGCTCCAGCTCGAACGTGTCTGCCGAGTGCCGGATGCAGAGACTAAGCAGGAAAGCTGGGGTCAACTTTGGCTCGCTTCCATCGGGGTCTAACATTGTCAAAATCCGTTCCAAAATCTGCTCCTCTTGATGCAAATCGTAGCTAAGCCTCGCCTCTGTCCCGTCCAGATCTCTCCATTTTGACACGTGAGCTCTAATTGCAAGTTTTTTCGGAGAATCGACAATGGTTTTGGAGTCCGAGCACAGTTTTGACATCCAGGGAGGGGTGTGCGACCACGACGAGCTGTTGGTAGGATCTTTAAACATGAACAAATAGTGATTCCCGAGTCCGACCAGATCTCCAGGACTTAGCTCCACCTTGTCTTTCAGCAGCAGGCCGTTTCTGGTGACGGGAGCTCCGTGTAGAGGCTGGAGCATGGTGGCCGTGGTTGTCTTTTTGGCGTCCCCCGTGGAGGAGGTGTGGTCGGTACGGTCCTGGCGCCTCACGCAGCAGTGCTGGGGCAGGACGTCCGGAGCGAAGAGGAGGACGTCCACCTTCAGTCGCTCCTCGCCGTCGCCGTTGCTGTGCTCCCGATAGCGGCCGAAGACGGTGCTGCTGCCGCTCATCAGGTAGATCACGAAGTCCTGGAGACGAGAGCCAAGCGTGTGAGAAAACAGATTTGAGAATGTGTGTTAATGAAACATAGTTATTGCTGACTTTTTAACACACTCAGATCCCAATCTTTGACCAGACCCAGATGTAACAAAGGGTCTATATGTCTACATTGCTGTCTAAATGTTTTTTTTCTATAATGTTTTCACTTCTAGACACCTTTATAGTCAATAGACCATATAGAATGACAAGGAATTACAAAAAAATGACAAGACAAATGGCAAGACAATTTTTAGTGGCCTCCCGAAATTATTTTCAATGGTCTTTCTCACAGTAACTTGTAGCATTGATGCTAATAGGCTTCTATGGCATGTTACAATTCATTTAAAAGCGTTTTGAGTCTCAGACAAACAACCATGTAATTGTATCTGTTCTAAAATAATATTCAAAGTCATGTCAAATACAGTTGATAAAAATAGAAAAGAAAATGTATTCCCTTTTATACTTCTTGCAGCTCTTATGTTTTTAAATTGGGCCCTTGATTTTTGACAGTTACCATAGCTACCGAGAAAGATTGTCTTGGGTTGTTGCGGTGTCACATGGACGCTATCTATTAGTTTGTAACCAATTTCAACACATTTGCCAAAAAGAAATAGAGAAAGGTTGCTGTGTTGTTTGGACTGGTGTCAGCTTTTCACCACAGGGAAGACGTGTCAAAAAAAAGGTTTAAAAAAAAAAGTCTGAATTTCAAAATAAGTCTTCTAAAGTGGCAGCACAGTGCATCCAGGGATCACATCATAATGGACTACGGTGAGTTGATTATCCACATTAATATAAGAGAAATCTCAAACATTTCCAGACATTTTTTCACTAGGACAACTTCTCGACACGGTTTGTTACGCTGTGATTATGCAAAGTATTGTCCATTTTGAGAACCTTTTTCACCTAACCCACATCAGCAACAGATCTATCTATAGATTTGGTCGGAGTGATCACACCAAAACCGGCCTCAACAAAAAGATTTTCAAGTCGGGTTGAAGGCCGCACAACCACAGTCCTCGTTCTACAGCCTGAGTCCAGGATATAGAGCCTGATCGTCCGTGGGAGCTGATCTCTCTCTCGTTCTGGGTCTCACCAAGATGTCTTACTTTTTCCAACTGGGGTTTCTGAACTGTCCCTTGCCGATGCAGGAGGGTCGAAGGACAGCGATGATCTGAGACATTTATTAACATTTAGGGACATTGGTCATGCCACTCCAACGTGTTAATTATTATTAACTTTTCGTGTTTCGAACTGTTTTACTCTCTGTTCCATTGTTGGCGAATACATTTTTTTGAAAAGTCCCCTGCGATGACTGCTGTCGTGATTTAGGGCTGCACAAATATAAATAATTTTGGATTGATTAAGGCAATGTTGGGGCCTCTTTGCGGTCTTGTATCCAGTCCCCTCGTCTGTACTTATCGAGCCCCGAGTGAGACTTGAAACACGCCGGAGAACACGTGCGCTCAAATCCTCAAATGCTTTCTTCCTTCTTTAACTTCCTTATGCAACATTTGGACGAGAACCAGCGGTGCAAGAGGCCAGAGGAGCGGAGGAGGAGGAGGCTGAGGCGGCTGACAGCACCAGATTACACGGAGTCAGGCACCTCCGGGTCTAATGCTATTACCACGGGACACTCTGCAGGTGCCAGAGGGAGCGGCTGAAGTCGACCAACTGAAGGCAATTATCAGAATGTGTGTGTGTGTGTGTGTGTGTGTGTGTGTGTGTGTGTGTGTGTGTGTGTGTGTGTGTGTGTGTGTGTGTGTGTGTGTGTGTGTGTGTGTGTATGTGTGTGTATTTTAATGCAATTGTGAGTAACCATAAGTCACAAACTAGGAAAATGCTTTGGCAAACAAGTTAGGTCAAGTAAAAATAGAATGAGGTAGGTATCTGAAAAATATATAGAATAATATGTGTATGAATGTGTGTGTGTGCGTGTATTTGTGTGTGTATCAGTGCGTGTGTCTATCAGAATCAGAATAAGACATGTTTATTGGCAAAAGTCCAAAACTAGGAAAATACTTTGGCAAACAAGTTCAGAGGTAAAAATAGAATGAGGTATGAATAAAAAATACCTTTAAAAATATGTGTATACTAAATGTGTGTTTGTGTGTGTCTGTGTAAGTGTCATTTTGCTGACATGTGTTTCTTTGGTGGGTACTGTCGGGTTTTGGTTCTGGTTCTTGTTTTTCTATTGTACTGTAGTGTGTGTTTGAATGCCTGGGAGGGGATTGGATTAAAATGTACTGGTTTTCTTGTTTGCTCTTATTATTATAATATTTTTTCGGTGAATAAATTGTTTGTATAACTTGTGCGTGTTGGAAATAAATACACAAAATAACAAAATGTATTGCGTGGTGAAGGTATAGCTCCAAATGAACAAGATGGACAGCAATATCGCTCTATCAACAGACAAAAGTTGGCCACTATTCAGGTTTATCCAAGCAAACACTTGTGGAAACTGAAAGGGATCCAAAAGAAAAAAAATAGTTGTGTAAGTAAAGTAAAGTATTAGATTTATTTGAGAACTTTGTGTATCAACTGCAGCTGTCTGAAGGAAGTACCATAGAATTCTACAACATGAACCCAACTCATTTCAGTGAGAGGGCAGGAGACAATATCTACTTTTGAACAAGATTGTTAAAAAATGTTTTAACAATCTCCAATGTTTTCCCACGTTGTATTTGGAAATTGATGAGACAAACCTGCCATGTTTTTTTTTTTTTATTGTCACCACTTCTAGACAACTTTATGAGAAAACCAATAGACCATATTGATATGTTGACAAAGAATTACAGAGAACATTGTTTCCAGGAAAGATTACTCCACAGGCCTCCCACAAACGGTCAGTGGAATGCTGTGATGTCACAAGAACTTAATCTAATAGGAAAACCCTGTTCTTGGCCACATTGATGTTATTGTCGTCTTGTCCAGAGTTGTCCAGATACTCAGTGGCTTCTGTTTTTAGTCAGTAGTAAATTTGGTTGTTGTTCGTTTCACAATAATAGAACCTGCATGGACCATTTGCATGTTTTGACGTTTAACAGTTGGTAAATCTGTCTATGAACCTATGAAGCAAGTTATGAAGTCTTCTGCATCTTCTTAATACATTCTCAGTGAAAATGTAAGTGGGCTGCTGATACGTGCAGTGGAAATCTGAAAGTTTCCAAAACGACTTTGGTTAGAATAATTTGGTTTGAGAGGAATGTGTGAGAAAACTGCTGCTGCTGAACACCGTTTCAATTCAATTTAGATTATTTTTGTACGACCCTAATTCACAACAGCAGCCGTCTACGAGGTCTTTACAACGCTGGCGGTTCTCCAACATCAGATTAGACAATCGAACAATTAGAACACAGGAAATGTACTACACGGATTGGAGCCATTGGTGCACAGGGAGCGGGACGACCAGTCTGTAAATGTTGTGGATCATCACTGTCATTAGAACCTCCGGCATCGGCAAAGAACGACTAAAAAATGCAATGGAAACCTCCGGGAGGCCCACAGTGAGAGAGTGATCTCCTGTGGCTGAGGCTGTAGATTAAGAACTGAGGTTGTAGATCCAGGACTGAGGCTGTAGATCCAGGACTCAGGCTGTAGATCCAGGACTCAGGCTGTAGATCCAGGACTCAGGCTGTAGATCCAGGACTCAGGCTGTAGATCCAGGACTCAGGCTGTAGATCCAGGACTCAGGCTGTAGATCCAGGACTGAGGCTGTAGATCCAGGACTGAGCCTGTAGATCCAGGACTCAGGCTGTAGATCCAGTACAGTAAAGAGGCTCCCAGGCAAGGTTGGGCCAGAGGCGTCCAATTCACAGGTGCAGGTCGAAGGTTATTTCGAAAATACACAAGCTTAAATTTATTGCCATCTGATCTGTTTTCTTCTTATTTTGCAGTCACTTTCTAACTCATGTCCCTTGATGACCAGCACAACCCTTTGACTCTGTATATGCAAATATTTTACAGTTGTATTACAACATACCTGTTAGCTAAATATTTAACCCACTCAATAACTAGCTATTGCCCTTACTGCCACAGCATTCCAACAGCAAGGCAAACATTCTGAGTATTTCAGCAAAGCTCGGGGTCACGTTTTTGCCCTCTCTCTCTGTGAGCACCAGTGTAACCCTCTCTACGCTGCTGTCGCTTGTATCAGGTGCAGATTACTGTGCCATCCTGCCCACTCAGCGTTTCCACGGCAGCGGCTCAGACAAACAGCACTTCCTGTTCCTGGAAACTGGCCGGACTAAAGCCACGTTCAGAAAACACAAAACACACATAGACCCCAAATACTTTACACCTTGTTTAGGGTCGAGATTTGTGACTGAAGTTGGTGCTAAAGTAAATTCAGGTTGACGATTGAAGTTATTAGGCATTCGAATTTTTAATCAGGTAAATATCATTCAACACAAATCCTATTATTTTTACCACTGCTATAGTACTGCTCCTACTACTACCATGAATTAGGCCATACACAGGACTCTACTGCTGCTATTGCTAGTGCTACAATCCTTTAGCACAAGATTTCCTCTTCAATTTAGAGCACTTAAGCAATTTTGCACAAGTGAGGGTTGCCAGTTCCGATTGGTGGAACAATTGGGAGATATTTTTGTCCCGTTCAAAGTGGCAGATGGGTTGATATTGCCTTAAGCTTTCCTAAAGTAGTTAATAATACAGCAAAACACAAGCTGCTGTCTGGTCTCGGCACCATGGAGCACGCAGGGGAGAGAGGAGAGCAAATTCATTTACAGTGCCTTGCGAAAGTATTCGGCCCCCTTGAACCTTTCAACATTTCGCCACATTTCATGCTTCAAACATAAAGATATAACATTTTAATTTTTTGTCATGAATCAACAACAAGTGGGACACAATCGTGAAGTGGAATGAAATTTGTTGGATAATTTAAACTTTTTTAACAAATAAAAAACTGAAAAGTGCGGCGTGCAATATTATTCGGCCCCTTTACTTTCAGTGCAGCAAACTCAGTCCAGAAGTTCAGTGAGGATCTTTGAATGATCCAATGTTGTCCTAAATGACTGATGATGATAAATAGAATGCCCCTGTGTGTAATCAAGTCTCCGTATAAATGCACCTGCTCTTTGATAGTCTCAGGGTTCTGTTTAAAGCGCAGAGAGAACCATGAAGACAAAAGAACACACCAGGCAGGTCCGAGATACTGTTGTGGAGAAGTTTAAAGCCGGATTTGGATACAAAAAGATTTCCCAAGATTTAAACATCTCAAGGAGCACTGTGCAAGTAATTATATTGAAATGGAAGGAGTATCAGACCACTGCAAATCTACCAAGACCCGGCCGTCCCTCCAAACTTTCATCTCAAACAAGGAGAAAACTGATCAGAGATGCAGCCAAGAGGCCCATGATCACTCTGGATGAACTGCAGATAACTACAGCTGAGGTGGGGATGGTGTGTTCAGGGTGATGAGCTGTGTTGCTTTTACGCCAAACATATCGTTTTGCATTGTGGCCAAAAAGTTTGATTTTGGTTTCATCTGACCAGAGCACCTTCTTCCACATGTTTGGTGTGTCTCCCAGGTGGCTTGTGGCAAACTTTAAGAGACTTTGAGAAATGGCCACTCTTCCATAAAGGCCAGATTTGTGCAGTGCACGACTGATTGTTGTCCTATGGACAGACTCTCCCACCTCAGCTGTAGTTATCTGCAGTTCATCCAGAGTGATCATGGGCCTCTTGGCTGCATCTCTGATCAGTCTTCTCCTTGTTTGAGATGAAAGTTTGGAGGGACGGCCGGGTCTTGGTAGATTTGCAGTGGTCTGATACTCCTTCCATTTCAATATAATTGCTTGCACAGTGCTCCTTGAGATGTTTAAAACTTGGGAAATCTTTTTGTATCCAACTGTACTTTTTTGTGTGTGTATGGCTATAAATCACAACAGCTGTCGTCTAGGAGAACTTTTCAAACTTGTCGATTCCTCAACAACAGATCAGAGAATCAAACCGTTCAAAGACAGGGAATGCAAAAGTTACAAACGCACAGGAGCCATTGGTCAAAGGGTCAAATACCAAGAGCTTAGGATATAAAAGTTCTCATTAAAAGACAAAAAGTTCTCTCCTCACACGTCTACATCTGTTTACTTGTGTTTTCTCTGCACTATATGAGGGGAACATGCTCTGTGAATATAAGGACATGTAGCTAGAGTGAGTAGTAAGTGATCAGTAATATGATCAAAATAAAAGGTAGACTGATTTCACTTTGTTAATTTCAATATCCTGACTTATGTATGTATAAGAGGATTTACTCAAATTTTATAAAAGAACCGCCCTCTCCATTTTTTGAACAAAAATCTCTGGTCTTATTTGTCGAGCATGAATCACCAAAATGATTGACAATTGGGAGAAGTTACCAATAGTCTTGATGATCCACCCGGAAGTAGACAATCCTCCTGTGTACATATGAGTACATATGTTAAAGGAGACACGTATTTTCCAAACCTATTTTACTCAATTATAAGTTGTGGAGTTATTTGTGTGAGTTATTTATTAGCTATTTAAATTAAAATTTTATTTTTACACTCATTGACTGACTGCCGTTTTTGATGATTTCACTGATTGTCAAGCCCACAGAATATTATGGGCGATGACTATGTGGAAGTTTGAAACCAGGTTCTGAAAGATTGGATTGTCTACTTTCATCAGCAACAATAAGTTGGTTTCTAGCCATTTTTTTCTCCTTTAATCCCCAGTCGAATAGAGGGAAGTTTCTCAGGAAATTCCGTCAATGGCAGTCAATGAGTTAACGGGGCAACATTTGGATCTCAGCTAAGCAGGACCAATATTGGCAGTGGGGAAAATTGGTGCGAACGGCTCAACACAAAACAGAACAAAATAATGAAATATGTCCAGGAGTAGTGACAAAAATTCAATTCATAATAACAAAGAAGTGCTTAGACCAATGCAGCCGTGATTGGTCGATAGGTGTTTTCCCAGCTTCTATGTTTCTCATTTAACTCACTGCCTCCCATCCTTCGGCCTCCCCAACGTTTGCCTGTTTGTGTTTACATTGCCGTCAGAACCCTGTCGACTGTTATCCTGCTCTGTCATCCTCTAATCAGTTTTATCTCTCTCTCTTCCTCCTCACAGGACACTGGCTCAAACAGCAAACGGTTGTTAAAAAATAAAATAAAATAAAAGCTAATAATAGAGCAACAGTATAGTCATTGTTACACGCCCTCTGCCCTGAACCCTAGACCCTAAACTCTGAACCAATCCGTAGGCTTTGGTTTGTGTTACTGCTGTTAGTTCCTGAGTCTACCAGAAGGGGGCGCATGTGTTTGAACCATAGACTGTAGAAGGAGTGGACTAACCCAGTGCTGACGTCGCTGACATGATTTGCCGATTAGAGCCAATTCAAACAAGCTCAATGGTATCTGGAGCTAAATGTGTGGTTAGCGACAACCTAGAAACCAAAGAGCCAATCAGAAGCGCCGTTGGTCTGGTCTGTATTTGATCGGGCTATTCCTTAGCTGAAGCCAAATTTTGAGACTCGATTGGTCAGTTATTAGCGGAATTTACCAAGAAAATATCAATATATAAACATCAGGATTATATAGCATGTTCAACCACAGATCTTTATGCCAAAAATGGTGAGTGTGAAATGTTTACAAGTTTACTAATATTCACTTTAAGCTTTCTAGAGCTAGCAGGTTAGCATTGTCCATTCCTATATACAGCTTATGGTTAAATCCATGCCCCATTTCCTCTCACAACAGACATCAAGAAAAGTTTTTTGTTTTTGTTTATGTCGCTCATCTCTGTCGGTTTATTGTCAACAAAATATACTCAAAAACAAAATATTCTTTTTGCGGAGAAATTACAGCATCCAATCAGGAGTCAACAATAACAGTCCATATGTGTAAATACAAAAATTCAAAATACATCAAGTTTTTAAAATCATCCACAATTAGATATCACTCCAAGATTAGATGCATTTCTTCTCAGGTCATTGCAGAAAAGGTCACGTTATCCCGACATGCCGGTGCGCCTTGTTCCCACACTGACCTGGCTCTGCTCTCTGACGGGGAATTAGCCGCGATACAAGCAGCTTAGAGCAAAGACGGTCAATCCAACACCTCCAGTGCATCTGCTGCTCGTACACAGGGCACTCTCAAGGAACCCCATACCAGCCAAACATTCAAGAAAGTTCTAGACATCCACCCATTCATCAAACTAATGCAGTGGAAACGGTGGAAAACGATAGATAACAGGTATAAATGGACCCAACAGGACACAAAAAAGCCCGAGTCCTGGATCCTCAGCATGTCCTTCCACGAGGTTTCTAACTTCTTTCCCACCGTTTTTATTTTTTATTTTCTTATTTTTTTGGGTTGCTCCTTTTTGTTGCCGGAGGATCAACGGAGAGTGATGATCCGGGACATTTGAGGACATTTATCAACTTTTATCAACAATGGTTCCTATGTGTGTTAATAATTGCATTACTTGTGTTCGAACTGTTTATCAGATCTGTTGTTGGTGAATAGACAACTTTGCAAAGTCTTCATCTCTTGTGATTTAGGGCTATATATGAAGTGAATTAAAATCCGGGATATCCATTGTTTTTTCTGGTTTGTCCAGACAGAAAGCGTCTTGTAATAGTAACGAACGTATAGAAAAAATCACAACGTACTGTAAACTTTATTAGAAATCATGTTATCTTTTGCAAAGCCCTGTGAGTTACTATTAAACGTTTTGAGCTAAGAGCTGATTGGCTGAGTGAGGGTGGTCCTAGTGTTTCACTCGATAAAGCTGCTCTAAATATACGCTTGTGAAAACCGGCGATGGAACCAAACTGTTTTAGAGTAAGGAAATAATTACATGTATTATACTAGTTTCTCTCTTGAATAGTTTGAAGCACTTTGAGCCTAAACTAAATTAACTGTGCTAAATCTCCTTGCAAATGGCTTGTAAATTTCTCCAGTGTAAGATCAATAAAGTGTATCTTATCTTAATCAGAATTGACAATGTTATATATACTATATCCAATCTGTCCGTGCTCACCTGTCTGTGGTCGAACCCCTGCAGCAGGAGGAAGTATGGGAAGTCGAAAGGCGGATGGATGGAGTACTGTGTGGTGTTGTCGTCGCTGCTCTCCGTCTCCTCCTTCTCCTGTCCCAGCCTCAGCTCCTCTTTATCGGCCTCGGCCTCCGGATCCTCCCTGAGCTGTGGCTGCTGAGCTCGCCGCGCCTCCTTCCCCATGGCCGACACGTCCATGTCGCTGAGGCTCCTCCACAGCCCCAGGGCGTCCACGGCTTCACCGCTGTCCAGGAAGAGCGAGGCCACGCGCGACCGGCCCTTCTGCTGCCGCCGCACCTGTGCATTCAGACCTGTGGAGAGACACGTGTATGCGGTTAAAGCTGGGGTACCTAGCTTTTTTCCTTTCATAAATAGTGGATTTTGTTTGCCCCACCAGAAAGAGTCCTGTAAAAAGTAGAATATTGTGACCAAATCAGGTAACTATAAGAAACTACTGCATATGAACCAACTGGCCTCCTGCTGGGACTCTGAGGAGCACAGGAACTGGCCTCCTGCTGGGACTCTGAGGAGCACAGGGACTGGCCTCCTGCTGGGACTCTGAGGAGCACAGGGACTGGCCTCCTGCTGATGTCTAGAGTCAGGACTGAACATGGGGAGGTGGCGTTTCAGATTCACGCAGCTAAAATCTGGATCATTCTCCCTAGAAATGTGAGACTGGCTTTTTCTCTGACAATGTTCAAATCCATGTTAAAAACAGTTCTGTTTAGCTGTTTAAACAACTGAAGTATTGTATTTTCATCCCTTTCATGAACTGTGATTCGTCATGATCTGAAAGTCTTGTCTGATTCTTTCCATCTTCATTTGTAAAGTTGAGAATCAGACAATCTCACTGCTCTCAGTCCTCCCCCTGTTACTGCGCGGCAGCAGCAAAAAATCAATCACACTCAGCTGGCAGCATTTAAGCACGGCCCTGCATCAAGCTTTCATATCATGCAGAAACGTTTCATTCGTGCAGCAACCCTTATCCTCCCCCATCACTGCTTCATCAGCCAGATTTGACCCTTTTCCTTTTACCCTTCTCTTAGCTCCCACCACTGTCTCTACTTTAATGTCTCCTTTGATGTTTGTGATGCAGCGCTCTTCCGGGTTCTAAACTCTAAATCATTACCACATTTCATGAAAAAAATAAATGTCATTCTTGCATATAATTTCTGTAGAGTCTTTTGCGCTAATTTATGTAGTGACAGATTACTTTCCAACCAATACATAAGACTCCAAAATAAACCTTTTATCTGTTTATGTGTGTTGCTGGTTGAAAACTATCCCACTATTGCACAAACTTAAAAGGTAAAAAACATGGCCTCGCATCAAGTTCCCACCGTAAGTGAAGTGAACCTAAGTGAGGGACTCAGGAGTTCAGATATCTGGCTGCGGTTCAAAAGTAACAAACCAGGAGGAAGCCGAGGAAGCCGAGGAGGGAAAGTGCATTGTGGCCTTTTCTACGTGTGATAGTGGCTGAAAAGTCGAGATTGTGCAGAACAACCAAGAACATGTGACACTGTGTAAGTAAATCAGAGGAGGATGCTGATTTCATGAATTTCCAACCAGGGGCACGACCTCAAGTTGATATTAATACTAGTAGAGGTGGGAAAGAAAACTTGAATGTGAGAAAAGTGTAGGAAAACAATGGAACATCACCTTTTCAACCGAACTTTGCATTTTTAACAATATAAGGGACTGACCAATCTATACGTGTTGAGTCCTGGTCTGTTCGTAGTAGCGGATCCCTCTCTCGGTTTCTCACTTTTCTCCACAGTGTAAAAATCACAATTCAAGCCCCATTTCCACCAAGCCTACTGAGCCCAATTCTGCGTTCAGCGTTTCTACCAACCCTGTTTAACCGGTACCAGGTCCTTCTTTAGTCCTGCTTGGGCCTGGTTCGATTCAGGCCAAGCTGAAACTTTTTGACACAAATCTCTGTATATATACTGTATAGCGCGGTGTACCCAGGATTCCAGGGACAAGAATTCTTATGGATTAAGTCCAAATGTATCATCCAACGTATATTTTCAAACATATTTTTACAAGAACTATTTTACAAAAGAAAGAGCAGCCCGTGCCCAAATGCCCAAAGTTTGACGGTAAGATCCTCACTCTCGTGTTGCCTCTTGTGTGATTTGTGTGTAGTCTTCACCTGACCCACACATTAGTAATAGGCTATAAAACACTTTCAACACGGCAGCTCAGAGTGTAAGGAAGAGGCGGCCTGGGTCTTAGGTCAAAAAACCCGTAATTTTGCTCAATTTTCTCATTTTGTTCAATGATTGTAGAGGGTCAGTGTCTGTAACTTTGTAAAGTCCTCCTTGCTGAACTGCAAAAAATGAATGAAAATTTGAGGTAATAATGGCTTGAATCAAGAAGTTTTTATTTAAATTTGAGTACATTCTGACTGTATTAAAACAGGGTTTGCCAATTACGTGTGTGCCTTTTTAAAATATGATCATTTTGCTTTGTCCTATTGGCAAATCTTATTTTAAGGCAGTCAAAATGTGCTCAGAATAAGACACATTTTGATGAATTTCTCAGTTTTTGGCTTAAGTAAGTAACATAACTTAGAGCTATACAAAAATGAATTGAATTGAATTGGAGTCTGCCCAGAGCTGAACGGAGCCCGGCCATAAAAGGAAGATAAGATTTGGTGTCTGTGGTTTGTTGGTCGGACCCTCTGCCCTCAGTGTCTCTGTGTCTCTGCTCTGATAAGACCAACAATGAGAAGTGTCGTTAGAGCCGAGGATAAGGACAGTCTGCAGCCACACGGACTGACGGATCACAGAGACGCACTGTCACTGATACCACTGACAGCTCTGAGGAAGAGGGGTTTTTACGGATTACAATGAAAGCTCAGTATATGTATGATTATAAAAACATCTGAATACAATAAAAAAAACAATACAATTTATTCTTGTATAGCCCTAAATCACAACAGAAGTAATCTCAGAGGACTTAACAAAACCATTGAAATCACCAAAACAGATCAGAGAATCAACAGTTAAAACACATAAAGAATATAGAACACATGTTGAAAAATGAAGAGTTGGTTTTCTATAAAAATGAATCATTTATTTAACCTTTATTTAACCAGTTAAGTCCCATTGAGATTAAGAACCTCTTTTTCAAGGGAGTCTTGAAGGACAAACTAAAAATCTCAATTTACCATAAGCCCCATTTCCACCAGGCCTACTTGGCCCAATTCTGCTCTACTCTACTATCAATTTGTAGCATTTCTACAGGTCCTGTTTAATCGGCACCAGGTCGATTAAACAGGACCTGTTGCAAGGATGAGGGCCAAGTCCTTCTTGGCCCTCGTTCTGTCAAGAGTAGACACTACTTTTTGACATGAATTTTTGTATGATTCTCAGACAAGATTCTCCAACCTGACTCTGGAGACACTACTAGTCCACACTCTCCCAATAATGATGCTCAAAAGGGCTGATCAATTTCTCTGTAAATCAGCCAAGCTAACCAAAGAGTATTATACAACGCTGGGCTAATACCACTTGCTAGCTAAACCAAAGTCAGGGACGGAATGCAGTGTAGGTTGTTAGTCCTCAAATCTGGATTCAATTCAATATATTCTTGTTTAGCCCTAAAACACAACAGTGTTATCTCTGAGGACTTTATAACTGTGGAATTCGCCAACACAGATCAGAAAATCAAACGATTCAAACTCAAGAAATGCAATGGCAGAAAACACATTGGTATTGGTCCATAAGGGACAGATGACCATGTTGATAAATATCCATAAATGTCGTTGAATGTTGAGAGTCCTGGATCATCACCACACACACGTCATACAATCGTATAAACCAGGATCATACAAAGCAGCAAGCCACGCATTTATTAATCAAAAAATGGTGAGTGTGGCACAAACGATTACAGAGCTACAAGAGTTTACTTTTCAAAATGAGTAAATGGCGCCAAAGGCAGTAGAGGCAAGACTTCGCCCATGAGCACTTCCCCATTAAACTTAATCGAATCCGCAGTTTAGCACTGTCCGTCTATGCCTACAGTCCTCACCTGCTGTGATGGTGTCTCTGCTCCTGAGGCTCTGCTCCTCCACGCTGGATCGCCGCTGGATCTCAAAGCGCCGGGAGAAGCCATCTTTAGGTTTCCATAGCGACTGTAGCACCAGGGGCTTCTCGGCGTCGCCCACCACACGGAAACACTCCCTCTTCCACTGCGTCTCCACCGAGCGGCCGATGACGTCGCACAGAACGTAGTCTCGGGGCTCCTCTTTCTCCAGACAGTACCTGAACCACAACAAAGATTAAGATGAGGAGAAGTGAACAATAACTCTATACTAAAATAAAATAAAATCTCTAACTTTAGCAAAATAAATAAGCAAAAAAATATTGCCTATTCTAGTGGAAAAAACAGTTGTATGTACAGTATATAAATGTGATTTTGGTGTTTTATGTGATGATTTGTGCCTTGTGTGGTGTGGACAGTTAAGCGCTTTGTGTTCTCCTGTTTAGGAAAAGCACTCTATGATTGATTGATATATCGAAATGGAAAGCAATCTTTATTTTGGACACACAAAATGGTTTATTGAAAGGTAAAAGCCTAATCCTAACCCTAACCCCAACACAAATCCCAACCCTAACCCTACATTTTTTAACTTCTTGCAGGAGAGAGATGCCTACCCTAACCCTTAACCCTCACACTTTCTCTTCCTGGACAAATTTACACAGAAGGAGTGGAGAAACTGAGCTCTACCATCACCCATTTTGTTTGCCCAATCATGGAACTATGTCAAACAGGCTCCATGGGCAGTAATCTGGAGCCAATTGTAGCGGGTAGCAACAACCTAGCAACCAAAGAGCCAATCAGGAGCAGGGCAGGTCTATTCCCTTTTTCCCACTCTGAAGCAGAAGGCACCAGGTTCATCAGTTGTTTGGGGGCACGCCGGGATTTACAAACACATGTCATATCACGGAAAGATTTTTGTATGAACAGTATATTGAAGAATTTAGTACGACACGCAACATTTTTGAAACTACGAAAATAGTGTTTGTCAGTGGGAGGGACTGACGTTGTTGACGTTTGCTGCTTAGAGCCATGAACTCAAGTCGAGGGCACTTTAAGACAATAAAGTTTATCTTATCTGATTTTTGTCTTCTTCTGGTTTTTTCCTAAATGCTTCATGATCACTTTGGAACTGGAGCCATTTTTATTATGTTTTTTTTTGGACTGCTTGAAATTGGTTCCATGTCATTAAACTACATGTTATTGACTGTGTTGTGACAAATAAATTATCTATATATTTAATTATCGAGTGTCTAACTACCTTGCATTTATTAGGGGAACAAGTAAATGATATTCTAACATGTTACAGCCAAAGCCCTAATAGAAGATTCACATGGACTGTAAAAAAAAAAAACCTTTAAAATGCCTAAAAAGTTTTATCACTTCCCAGTGCTCTATAATCTCTAGGTCTTAAAACTTCGGGTACCTAACTGATTTTGTCATGAATAAATAAATAAATAATACATCTTGTTTGTCCCAATAAAAATAATCTTGTAAAAATAAAATGCTGCGAAAACATGATATATTTCTTGTAAAAAAGAGCCCTGTGAGCCATTATCAATTCCACTTTTCTGCCTGAAAAAGTTCATCAGAATCTGACAGAGGCTTAAAACAAAAAAATTGCAGTGATAGCACCAATGTTTTGACAGCTAGGAACTAGTTACATGGATCGTATAGTTCAAATTCTTGTTGCATTTGAAAGTTAGGTACCCCAGCTTTAAACGCAGCACTATAGTAACCCAGCACTTTGAACACAATCCCACGACAGCGTTAGAATCCTCTGGCATTCTGCCGCGCTGAATCACCGTTTGCAAAATCGCGGGCTTGTCCCTCACCTCTCTAACGCCTCTTTCACCAGCTCCTTGGCCTCCGACTGAAACGTGGCCAGGACGCTTTTGTAGTGAGCTCCTTGGCAAATATCGCTGCCAAAAATCTTCAGGATCCCCGGGGCGGAGGTCTGATGGGAGAGCTCGGAGGGGTCATCGCGGGCGGGCAGGTCTCCGCTGAGGCTGCCGCTGTCCAGAGAGGGGCCCTTCCCGCCAGACCTGGAGTCCCGCAGGTTTGGGCTGCGGCTGAAGACGCTGGAGAGGCGGTTGTTGTTGTTGTGGCGGCGGATTTTGCTTTTGGCCGGCTGCCGGACGCCTGTGCTCTCGGAACGGACCGTGCTGTCGGACTGCGTGGATCTGGAAAGAGGGAGGGAAGGGAGAAGGAGGTGAGAGGAGGTGAGACAGAGATGGAATAAATGGCTTTCACTACCACGTGTTATTTTGTGTAGCTCCTAAATCACAACAGCTGTCGTCTCGGAGGACTTGTCAAAGATAAAGAGCTGCTTCAGGATTTTACGACTGAAGGATTTTTTCTCTTTTTAATGCATTGTTGTTTATTATTTGAAACCCTTGCGTCATTTTAATACTTTAATGCTTTAAAATTACTTGAATTGTGTTTTTAATGGTGATTTTGGTGTCTGTTTTATGTGATGGTTTGTGCCTTGTGCGGTGTGGACTGTGAAGCGATTAAATAAAATATTGATTGATTATTAGTCCCACAGTGGGGAAATTTCAATGTTGCATCACAAGTGACAGAACAGTAGGAATGAGGAGCACACAGTATAAGATAAGAGAATTCTCTTTGTTCTCAGAGCCTCCAGCATCAGTAAAGAACGACTAAGAAAACCTGTAGGAAGAAGTGAGGGGAGGCCCATATTGGGAGAGGGATCTGCTCTCAGGGACAGACAGGCTGTAGATCCAGGAGCACAGGGACTGGCCTCCTGCTGGTGCCCAGAGTGAGAACCAAACATGGGGAGGCTGCGTTTCAGATCCATGCAACTAAGATCTAGAACAATCTCTCTGAAAATGTGAGAGAGGCGTCTACTCTGTCAACGTTCAAATCCAGGTTAAAGACTGTTCTGTTTGCCTGTGCATACAACTGAAGGATTTTATCTCCATTTCTAATGCACTGTTGTCATTTATTTATTTATTTTTTTTTAATTTCTTGTATAATTTTGAAAGTTTTAATGGTTTTAATATTTTGTGTGATTTTAATGTTTTAATTGTGATTCTGGTGTTTGTTTTATGTGATGATTTGTGATGTGAACTGTGAAGCGCTTTGTGTTGCCCTGTGTATGAAAGGCGCTCTACAAATAAACTTTGATTGATTGATTGAGACTGTAGAACAAGGACAATGTCGACCCGATATGAACAGTTTCTTCCTCTTAAATCACAGGTAACATATTGCAAAATGGGTCAATTTGTATTAAAGCACCTAACTACAAAATACTAGAGTTGGGTTTGTACAAATATATATTAAAAAGCAAATAAGATCAACTGAAATCAGCTTTCTGAACTTAAACTTGAGCTATAAGTGTCTAGGATCCCCCCGATGACCGATATGTATAACATCTGGCGACATTTGGAAAAACACTGATTTTCTCTCTCTCCGTTTTCCTCTGGACTCTTTTCATGAGTCTCTGTTTTATAGTAAATAAGGCTGAAAATCATGATTCTAAAATTGATATTGAAACCAGAAACTTATTTCAGCAAACAGCGATTCTAAACAATCCAATCAACTTTTTTTACATGGCACATTTCACACACAGCCCAGTTTCCAAAGTGCAGGACAATAAAAGACTAAAACATTGAACAAAACCAACAAGACACAATCTAATTATTAAAAAAATGCTGATATCAAAATAAAATGTGTCTCTTGACTATGGTATAAAACACATTTTTTAACATCATCCTCATTATAATTGGATTGGTTTTAGGACCGTGTTCAAAAGTAGAAAAAAATTGAAACAATCTCGTCTTTTTCCAATCATTTGGGACCTGAGCATTCAAAAGGAGACACAGCGATCCTGGAGCTGAAGAGGAGGACTTGTTTTGTTCTTTCCCATGAACTCACTGCTCTGGAGAAAGAACTGCTCCAGGAACAGACAGAGTGTGTCTTCACCTCCCTTCATTCGCTTTAGAAACCATTTATATTGTAAAGTTAAGAGTTGCTGGTGCCATGTGTACTGGTGGCATCTCTGGACACCCCTCCGACCCAGAAATGGATTAAGAGGAAGAAAATGGATGGATGGAAGATACTTTGTTTCCAGCCGCTTTAATGGATTCATAATGTAAACAATAAACTTGGCCGACTTATGGTCCAGCTGACTGGCCTCCTGCTGGGACTCTGAGGAGCACAGCAGGAGTCCCAGCAGGAGGCCAGTCAGCTGCTGGGACTCTGAGGAGCACAGGGACTGGCCTCCTGCTGGGACTATGAGGAGCACAGGGACTGGCCTCCTGCTGGGACTCTGAGGAGCACAGGGACTGGCCTCCTGCTGGGACTATGAGGAGCACAGGGACTGGCCTCCTGCTGGGACTATGAGGAGCACAGGGACTGGCCTCCTGCTGGGACTATGAGGAGCACAGGGACTGGCCTCCTGCTGGGACTATGAGGAGCACAGGGACTGGCCTCCTGCTGGGACTATGAGGAGCACAGGGACTGGCCTCCTGCTGGGACTATGAGGAGCACAGGGACTGGCCTCCTGCTGAGACTATGAGGAGCACAGGGACTGGCCTCCTGCTGGGACTCTGAGGAGCACAGGGACTGGCCTCCTGCTGGGACTATGAGGAGCACAGGGACTGGCCTCCTGCTGGGACTCTGAGGAGCACAGGGACTGGCCTCCTGCTGGGACTCTGAGGAGAACAGGGACTGGCCTCCTGCTGGGACTATGAGGAGCACAGGGACTGGCCTCCTGCTGGGACTATGAGGAGCACAGGGACTGGCCTCCTGCTGGGACTCTGAGGAGAACAGGGACTGGCCTCCTGCTGGGACTATGAGGAGCACAGGGACTGGCCTCCTGCTGGGACTATGAGGAGCACAGGGACTGGCCTCCTGCTGGGACTCTGGGGAGCACAGGGACTGGCCTCCTGCTGTTGCCCAGAGTCAGGACTAAACATTGGGAGGCAGCGTTTCAGATTCATGCTGCTAAAAATCTAGAACAATCTCCCTGAAAATGTGAGACAGGCTTCTTCTCTGACAATATTCAAATCCAGGTTAAAAACAGTTCTGTTTAGCTGTTTATACAACTGGGAGATTGTGTCTTTACTCGTTTTAATGAACTTTGATTATTTATGATTTAAATGTTGATTTTTCTTGTAATATTAAGCACTTTGAGTTGTCTTGTGTATAAACTGTGCTATACCAATAACCTTGCCTGTCCAAGCCTTGCGGTGGTCCCTGTCCACCTGTTGCCTTCTGCAGCTTTAGCAAGGATTTGAATTGGATTAGTAAAGTCTATGTCTAAAGACTATGTAATAATCTACAATATATGTGTTTAAATAGGCTTTTTTTCCAGACAATACCAACTCTGACTGGAGGAAACGTTACATTAATAATTGAAATACAGACATATATAAATATTAAAAAGTCAATATCACAGTGGTACTTACTGCAGGGAGCCATTGCTTGGTTTCCTCCCCAGTTTTGCGAGGCGTCTCTTCGGGGATCGGATTAGCAACCCCACGGACAAATTCATGCTTTTGTGGTTATTCGCAGGGCTGCTTCTCTCCTCCGAAATCATCATTGATCTTTTTGGAAAATTCACTCAAACATTACAAGCGTGTGAGAAGCTGCTGCTGCTGCTGCTGGGGCTGGACAAAACGTTGCATCCTTCTTCTTCTACTTCTGCGTAAAAAGCCTGGAGCGTTTGGATGAAGTGCGACAATTACGCACAAAACAAAGTCAAAACATAACATAGAGAAAGAGATGCGATAGTGTTGGTGTGTTTAATCCGTTGGGAGAGGGTAAAACTTTGCAGACAACGCGAGCAAACAGGTTGATAATTCCACACATACAAAAATCAGTGCGCTGGATTCAATTCCCATAAAAGTCGCTCCGTAATAGAAAAGTGATGTCGCAGTTCATTCAATTGGTTTGTGGGTAAAAACAGGAGAGGGACAAGGGGGAGAGACATGTCCTTATCCCACGCTGACCTCCTGACTGAGGGAGAATCCGCTAAGTCCGAACGCGCGGAGAGAAGAGGAGCGAATGAATGAAGGAGAGACTGGACTGGACCTGCTGCGGGGGGCCGGGGCCAGGGGCGGAGCCAGTGCGTCACGGGGCTGGAGGGAGACGCCCCAGGGGACAGATGTAAACAATACATGACTTTTAAGAATTCTGAAACTACTATAACTCCAGGAGCCGTTATTTTGACTGCTCACATTCATATCAATGCTGTTCTGAGAAATTAAATACAAAAATGTTTAGTTTTCACCAGTGTTATCCAAAGTTACCTTATGTACGTTTAATAAGTGCTACAACAACTATAACCAAAAACTGGATCATCTTAGAATACAGCAAAAAAAAAGATGAAAAAATTGTAAACAGAGTATTGCTATAGTAACTAGCACTTCTTTGTTCGGAAAGCCAAGTTGATGGAGAACCAGAACCAGTCCAGGACCAGTATCTTGAAAAACGGGATTAACTGTCAAGTTGTTTACCGAGAAACCAAACATGGCTACAGTTGAATTTTACATTAAGTTCAAAGTACAAAATAATGCTTATAAAGCGCAAAAAATGTACACTACAGTAATTACTCTTCCAAATCTAAAATCCGTCAAATTGACTGCTCTGGGAATTCTAGTGTTAATGCGGTGCCTACTCTTTTTGTTTCATATAAAAACACATCTTATTCGTCCAACAAAAAATATTCTTGTAAAAGTAAAATGTTTTGGGGGATCTGACCAGGACATGCTGTCTGCACTGAAGAGAAAACCTGGAAGTCAGCTTCAAACTGCAGTCATTTACTTTGTGAGAGCTCTATCTGGTGGTGACTTTTGGAACTGCAGCCACCAGCTCAAATCTCGTCTTCAACAAAAAGGGCGGGAGAGAAAGAAAAAATGAAACTATTTAATAAAAGTCTTTTGTCAAATGCACAGTGAAAAAAAAGGTTTTCAGCCTGGACTGAAACTTTGCAGAGAGTGTGGTCTGTTCTGCAAGATCAGGAAGACTGCTCTACATTTTTGCTGCGGAAACCTGGATCTTTGTCTCTCCATGTTTAGGCCAGTCCCTCTGCTCCTCAGAGTCCCAGCAGGAGGCCAGTCCCTGTGCTCCTCAGAGTCCCAGCAGGAGGCCAGTCCCTGTGCTCCTCCGAGTCCCAGCAGGAGGCCAGTCCCTGTGCTCCTCCGAGTACCAGCAGGAGACCAGTCCCTGTGCTCCTCAGAGTCCCGGTTTGTTTATATAATACATCACATATGTGATGTGGTGCGATGCCATGGAGACACTTTGTGAATTCAAAATAAAAAGCACTGCACATTGTTCAAATGGGAAAAGGTTCTTAAAATGATGTGTGCAACACAAAGCTGAAAGTGTGTGTCTCTGGTGTTTTGTGGTTTTTCACACTCCGGATGTTTGACTCCAAACTGCAGATGCAGCTCAGACCTGCAGCTGCAACAGCTCAGGCTGTCTTTATTTGACATTTTCAGAATAAATTAATATAAAAAATATGTTGTTTATACTCCTAAGATATAATGCAAACATTTTCAAGGAAAAGGAATAGATGACAGGTCTGTACTCGACCAGTGTGTTTCTAGTTTTAAATGTTTTCCGTTAACAGACAAACAGAGCAAAAAAAGCAAAAAGCTTAAGTACCATACTTCACATGGTTTATGAAGATCCATCTTGTCTTCTTAGGTTTTTGGTTCCTCTACTAAACAAATGTAAAAGACCGATTTTAACACATGGCTATCTTACATGTGTGTGCTACAGAAGAACCACATAGCTCACATTTTGGGAGATGGTCAGACCGGTCGGTGGATTCTCCTTCTGTGGGGAACATCTCACCGCCGCTGCTTCTTCTCCACGTGTCCGTCTCTGTAAACTTTCTCTACAGTTTGTATCGTAGTCAGTTGCAAAGCTTATCGCTCGTAGTTTGATTTTTGTCAGAATCGAGGGTCGGTGTCAGAGCTGATGGAGAGGCCAGAGTTTTTGATAGCTCCAGTTGTGCTCTATATAGATTCAAGATTTAAGGAAATACTAAGATATGAAATTGTGTCAAGAGACCACCATTTTTATATTATTATTTAAGGAATCGTTCTCAATTCCACTGTGTCAGGTCAAACACAGGTAAAACACTGTTGGTTTGATCGCACCGGATTTGAACATTTTTGGCTGTTTTTGCAGAAGAAAGGTCTGAAAAGCTGCTGTTACTCATTACTATAAAAAAAGTGATGCGTTACGTTCAAATATGTATTAATACTACATTTACAAAAACTTACCAGAAACGAATCGCCCAGTCATTAGGCCGAGCCAATACGAAGTATTGGGGAGGCCTATTGTTATTCACCGGTTTCATATTATTCTTTTTTTTCCGCATCTTCAATTCGATTTTTGACCCTGAAGACATGCACGAAAGTCTGCACATGGGGGGTCTAAAACGACCGGTCCGGCGAAAAATTTAATAAAATGAACGTTTCCAGATTGTCCGACGCTCGCCGACTCTATAACGCCCCCTAGAAATTTCATTTTTTTTGACCCTCTGGGGATTTTTTTTCAAATATTGGAGTAGGTACACGAAATTCGGATGAGTGATAGATCTCTATGAGACGAGCATAAAAGCCGTTCTAAGCACATGTCTGGGACCGACAGGAAGTCGGCCATGAGGGGCCGAAGTTTCGCCACTAATTTGACTTTTCATTTATAAATTCGAACTAGTCCCTGGTTTTTCATCACACAGAGTTCTACCACGTCATTTCCCGCTCTGGACGGATTGAAGTTATATAATCATCGAAAAAAAGTTAGAAAATCTTCACCGTTTTCGTCCCTCGCCATGGCGAATAAGGCCTTCGTTTTGGCCATTTTCGCTGAGCCCTGAGGGCCACAGGCTCAGACCTACAGAGCTGAGACTCACATCAGTAATATTAGGTTATGGCCTGAACGCAATGACACTAAAATCATTCGCCCAATTTGAGCTCTTTAGCGCCACCTGTCGGAAAGTAATAGGGCACTAGTGCTCGGATCAGCCCGAAAATCGCTGAGTGTATTCTCTGGACCGACACGAGCAAAACATTACATTACGCAAAAGTTGTAAGTCCTACACCTGACCACTGGGGGCGCTGGAAAGTGAATAAATGAGCTTTTTAGGGCAAAATGTTTGTCCGATGAGGCTAAAAATGAATTCAGAAATACAACGTATGACCCTGAACACAACGATATGCAACACACAACTGTGAGTGCAACAGCGCCACCTACAGGCAGTTCAATGTGTTGCATTTTTGGCTTCGTACTAGTCCCTGGATTTTCATCGCACAGACTTCTACCATGTCATTTCTATATCTGGACGGATTGAAGTTATGTAATCATCGCATAAAAGTTAGAATTTTGTTATCGTTTTCATGCAAGGTAGTGGGGAATTTCTCCATGTTTGATGCTCTCCTGACCACAGGCTCAGACCTACAGAGCTGAAACTCACATCACTAACAGTTGGTAATGGCCTGAGAGTAATGGTGTGAAAACACACACCTAATATGACTCTACAGCGCCACCTATGTAAGGCTTCTGACCTAAACTTTTCCGATCTTCACCAAAGTTGCAAAATCAAATCTTTACATCTGTACGAGCAAAATACTACTCTACGTAGAGGGTGCATGTCCCGGAGGTGACCACTAGGGACGCACTTTATCATATAAATGAGCTTTTATATATGTAATCCTGGTCAGATCGGGCTGCCAATTCGTCTGCGTGACGCTTGTGGGACTGGCGCCCAGGAGGCGGTCGCAAGAGGGGCGAGGCCTTTCATCGCCGCTTGCGGCTTTAATTATTTTTGTGTTTCACTTTTAGTACCGGTCAGAACAAAAATTCCAACCTACAATGCAAAATTGTATTAAGAATTTAGTTCAATTCAATTATTATTATTTTTTTTATTGTTTTGCAGAGGCCAAAAATACAGCAGCAGTCGTCTCGGGAGGACTTTACAAAGTTGTCGATTCCGCAAAAAAATATCGGAGAATCAAATAGTTTTTTCTTTACAAATCTTTTCTCTTTAAACAAGATTTGACAATGAACAAAGAAATCTAGCTATATTTTCAAGAACTCTTTGCTTTTTTTCTTATTTCAAGGGAGACATTTCTTGTATCTTTTTAAAACAAGATCATTTTTGCTTAGTCCCGTTTGCAAATCTTGTCTAAAGGCGGTTAAAATGTGCTCATATCAAGCTACATCTTGCGAAATCAAAGCATTTTCTTACTTATTCTTCTTCAATTTTTGCAGTGCAGGTACTGGGAAATCCACTGTCCATAAGAGTTGATACTGTAAATGTCCCGGGTCATCACTGCCCTTTAAATTCTCGTCTATCGGCAAGGAACAACTGAAAAACTCAACAAAAAGCGGGGGAAAACCTCTAGAAGGCCCATTTCTCAAATTTGTAGCAACCACAATATTTTAATTTTCGCCAAAGGGTCACAAGTTTATTCTGAAGAGTCAACAGGAAGTCCAGCCTCATTCTCAGTCCACTTCACACTTGAGCGTAAAAACTTTGAGTCAGTAAAGAGCAGGACAAGTGCAGACAGCAGCAGCGCGTCTCTGTCTCATCACTGAAACTTTCAAGATTTTTTTTGGTGAATTTTTGTATTCATTTTTATTAGTGATTGTGTCAAAATGGGGCGGCTGTTTCTACTCTGTTCCCCGTGTAGAGGGTAGACTTACACCGTGCAGAAGACAGACAGCGGGAGGTAAGGAAAACATGCAAAAAATGTATTGTTATAGTTTACAATGTTGTGTAGTGATCGTGCTGTGAGCTGTGTTTAAAACTATAGAAATAATAAAAATAATAATATTTTAAAAAAACGACAGATATGGACTTCTTAAGGTACAACACTTGATAATATATTTACATTCCCTGCATAGTCTCATCTCTTCATCTCTTTTTAGACTACTTTGGAAGAGGAAAGTCAACTTTTGCATGTCTATATTTTAGGCCGTATTTATGTCTAGACGATGAAGCGATCGAAAAAATTCATTTTAGTCTATTTTTGTTGATGTTTCTGCACTTACGAAAAGGACAGAATGGTCTTGAAATAATATCTAAATGTGTGTTTTCATACCTCATTACATAGCGTTTATGTGAATAGTGACATATTCCACAGTGTTGGGGAGTAACTGAATAGAAAATATTCCCAAAATATTCAGAACACTACATTTGGGAGGCAGAATACAGATTGATGGAATGTTAATGTGTTTAAATTCCACTTCAAATGGTACAATATTTCATACCTCATTGCATAGCGTTTATGTGAAAATGATTTATTAACAGATATTAACAGAATTGAGAGACAGGATAGAGACTGATGGAATGTTGATGTGTTTTGTGTTTAAATTCCGCTTCAAATGCTACAATATGATCAATTCCTTAAAGCAGATCCTGCCTCCAGACTGTGATGTAAAATCTAATCATGGGTTCCCTGTTTTCTGAAATTTGCTAAAAAAAGAAAAAAAAATCCTTCCCTAACTTTTTTTTTTTAACGAGAAACTTTTGTAATAATTTATTTTTCTTTGGTGTATTTATCTTATTAGCTATGGATCTTGTGCCTGCACACGAGTCTTTTAAAGTCTAAATAAGTAAATGCACAACCTCCGTGACAGAAAACAGTGAAAAAAACGACCTTTTCCGTGAATTAGATAATACATTTTTTACGCTAGAAAAGGCGTGTCCAAACTACGGCCCAAGGACCAAATGTGGCCCACTTTTTCATTTGACGTGGCCCTCTGCCGCAAACAGAAAAAGCCATTGAAGCACATTCACAGTGTCATCCAGCCAACTTCAGCTCCTCCCCTGAAGTCATGCTGTAATTCACCTTTGGAATCCAACCTTGAAGTTTATTTGTACTGTATATACGGACAATGTTTTTTCTGATCGTGACACAAAATGGGACCAGTGCAGCTGCGGTGAGACTCAACTAAAGTGGCCCTCTTACTATAAAGTCTGGACACCCCTGCACTAAATTGTCAAGTGAATGGCCGTATTCCACAAATGTTTTCACTAAATACATGTTAAAAGTATCTTCAGAGACGCCCATGCCCACACGCGGTTTCTATTTAATGATTTGGGGAAAGTTAGATTTCCTCTAATTCATTATCTCAAGGAAATTATCAACTTCTTCCGAGACGAGCCATTCAATCACAAATTAACAGAATTGAATGTGTTGGAGCACAGATAGCTGTAGATAGTAGTGTGAAGTTTTTGTTTTTTTATTTTACAAACGATGCACTGTTTGTCACCTCTATGAAGGGGAAATGAATTAAAAATCCCATTCTCAGCACCTTTCGAGGTCTAAACATGATCAATATGATAGTTAAATACAGATCTATGACACACAATAACATGGATTAACAATATATGGAATAACAGAATGTTGAAATCATTTATTATTATAATTTTTTTTTTAGCTTTACTCACTTTTTCTAAATGCTAGAACGGGTGAAAAGCTAACCAGCAACTCTGATAGAAAACCAAGCTGACTCGGCTCAGAACCAGGACCAAATCAGGACTAGATCAGGACCAGATCAGGACCAGATTACAGTAGGACCAGATTACAGTAGGACCAGATTAGGACCAGATTAGGACCAGATCAGAACCAGATCACGACCAGAACCAAGGCCTAAAACTGCCATACAGACCGAAACCAACCGAAATTGGCAATCATTTTAGAACTACTCCTTTCAAAACACCATCCCACATTGTGAAGCGCTTTGGGTGACTTTGGTCTGTAAAATACGCTATATCATCTAACCCAACTTTTATCACAGACTCATGGTCCAGGATCATGATGTTTATATAAAAAAAACATCACTTGATTACTTACAAAAACTAAAAGAGAATTATTTTAGATTAAGATTAACAGAAGTTAAAGAACAGAAGGAATGAGCAGCCACAATAAAATCTTTATCTTGATTAAAAAAATAAAAATACTGTGTACTCTTGTGCACAAAGACTGTATATATGTTTGTACTTCAATAATGGTATAGACATTAATTAATTAATCCCCGAGAGATTAATTAATTAATTAATTACATATAGAAACAGAAAAAAATCACAAAGTTATGACGACCAAAAAGGTAGACACATGAACAATTACACTTTCAAGCCTGAAAGATATACATGTACAGAGTGGAAATCAATATTTGAATAGTATGAAACAAAATAACCCAATTTTTAACCAATTTTAAACCACAATATGTATTATTAACCCAGTATTCCCTTTCCCATAACTCTTACCAGCATATTTGAAATACTTCCTTCTATCAGTATCAGCACAGTTGTTAATGATTAGTTGCCGGTGGTTTCATGGGAGATGTTTGTGGATCAAATACCACTGTCAGTAACGAATTACTCTGAGTTTGGGGAAGTCAAAAGAACAGTGGGAGAAACGATCGGAGAAAGGCATTTATTGTAGTGGCTTTAAAATTAGCCTGGCCTTAGCCGTTCGTAAACTCTGATCAATTCTCATTTCCTACACGTACGTCTGGGTCTGATCCTAGTAGCTGCAGTTACTTCGGTTGTATCACCTCCGAACAGCGAGTGGGGGAGGTGGGTGTTGTCGGTGGGTGTTGTCGGTGGGTGTAGTCGGTGGGTGTTGTCGGTGGGTGTAGTCGGTGGGTGTCGGTGACGTTGCTGGTTGTAGTTTGGCGATGGCGGAAAATGCGATGGTAAAGCGATCGGTTCTGGTTCGGCCTCATTCTCTCAGGCACATTACATAGTCCTCTCTGTTGTTTCTGGTTTTATTTGCCTTGGATACCTGTGGGACTTGGCATGTACCTTTCTGAATGGAGTTTGCATGTTCTCCCTGTGTCTGTGTAGATGTCCTCTGCGTGCTCCAGTCTCCTCGACTCTAAAATCCATAGAGCAAGTGTGATTATGGGACTTCAAGTAGAATTTAACCCATGGTAATAAATATACAGTATGTCACTATAGTCGCTAGTTTTTTGTGGTTTCAAAGATACGTAAAGACGGAAGGTAGTTTTACGGAAACACAATTTAATTTTCATTACTCAATTACACTGTCATATTGTTTGATTCTTTGATCTGTGTTGGTGAAATCTACAGTTTTGTAAAGTCCTCTGGGATAACGACTGTTGTGATTTGGGGCTAGGCTGGTATATAAACTCAATCTAACTGTTTAATATTTAGTAGTGGTCGATTGGGGGCAAAATTTGTGCAGACTGGGGACTTTTGCAAATGTATTCCAATGTGGTTTTACTGCAAATGGCAAATAAATGAATCTGAATCTGAAAAGTCTCAGTTGGAGCAATCGGCTTATGGGCAGCTAAGGGAGAGGACAGCTGCTGTTTGTGATCAAAAACATTTTAAAACATTCATTTTTAGATCAAAACAGGACAGAATTATTTGTATTATTATATTGTCTGGATTCTCATTGGCTCGCGTCACACACATACAAGGCACATACTAAACTAAATTATATTTTTGAGTTCTTTTCAACATTGTTTCCTCTTAAAAACCGGACATTTTCTCTGGTTGGGCGGTGTTCGGCTGAGACTAGGGCCATTCGTCACCTCTTGCGGCTCCACAATCATCATGTTTGCAGTAGACATTGTAAACTTCAAGTGGTGTGTGTCAATCATTAAATGCATGTGAACACACTCAAATATTCCACATTATTTCTCTGAACAGACGGGAAATTCCTCTTTCTTATTTCTGGAACAAACCACAGTCAGCAGCTCATGACAGTGTGAGTGAGAAGTTCATGTAGGAACTCATGGAGCAGATTTTATTTTTAACTTTTTACAGACAACATTCAGCAGCACGTCGCAAAAGGAACAGGTGTTTCATGATTTGACAATTTCCTGAACAGGTTTCTCACAGTTCACTGCAGTTAGTCCCTGGTTCAGGATTATAAACATTGGACTTCTCTCTGACAGTAGAAGCCGTAGATCAGGGGTCTCCAACATGTAGCTCGGGAGCTAGTAGCACGTCACCGAAGCACTGGTCCTAGAACTGTGAACACGAAATATTGTACCAACAAAAAGATTTTTGCCTCCAGTGCCAACAGACGTAGATAAATCTATGATCCACTGTAACAAAACTAGAATTTTTGTAAGTCTAAATTTGGGCTGAAACTTCTCTGGGTCTATGGTTGCAGTGAGATACACACAGAGTTATTCTAAATGATTATTCTCAACTCCTGTCTCCACTCGAGCTTATATAGCACTAATCATAGAAAAGTCTGAAATTTCCGCATTGCAGAACGAATGAAGGACCTTCATCTTTTTATTATTATTATTATAAAGTAAGACATCAATGTGGGATCATCTGAGTTGCTAATGCTAATCCAATAATTAGTCTGGCTTGGATTAGAGTTCCCAGTGTCCCGAGAGAAGCAGTAGAGGATTCCTTTAACACTTCCCAGAGCTGATGAGCGATAATTTTATGCCGTCTTTTAAAACCAAATGTATTTTTAAAAGTGAAGATTGGATGTTTCCCAACAGCAGGAGAATGTGACGGCCGTGTTTCCTCCCTTTAGAATTAGTGCAGAAATGTCAACCTTTGGCTCGTGGGCCAATTACTTGTGGGAAAGACAATTTTCAGTGGCCCCTAAAAGGATTTTCAATAATCATTATTATCTGGCAACACTGATGGTGATCGATGGGCTGCCCTTCCATGTTATACATCATATATTTTCTAACAACCAACTTTAATTTATTCTAGAACACATCAGTAGAAGATAAATTGTTAAATATAGAATATTGTTTTTTTTTTGAGAAAAAATTCTCCAGAAAAGTCAACTACAAAATAATAATGAAAAACTTATGTCACATCAAAGTCGAGTCAAAACTCCTTCATAATGGAATAAAAAAAATAGAAATCCCTTCTACTCTCTCGCCCTCGACCAGTTCCCACTTTCTTTATTTGGGCCTTTGACCAAAAATGAGTTTGACTTCCCTGAATTAGAGGTTTCTCTGGATATTGAGGTTTTATAGCAGTAATATTATGCATTATTTTTGGACATTTAAAAGTTACACAGAGACTATTTACTATAGTTCCGGATGCCTCCTGGAGTCAAACAGGAACCATCTTGGATCAAAAATATAGTTCATTTAAATCAGTTGTGCAATAACTTTATTTTAAAGTGTGTGGTTATTATCTTTCCCGGTAAGAAGCATTTGCCTAACACCTGTTTATTATTCATGCTGCTTCAGACGGTCTTATTTATAGATGGTGTAAACTGTAAATGGTGGAGTAGATTCTGACCACACTCAAGAGTCTCCTGTGTCTATTTCCTTTTTAAATAATTGATATCAAAGGATTTTTTTCATTATTTATTGAACTTGTTTGTTGCAGTTTTAAAACCCTCCATAAATAATCCGTCATGTTTATTTTCTTTGTATTATTATAAATGTATCCTAAGTCATCATTAAAGGGCCCTAATCTGTCAAAAGGCATTTTATAAAACATGCTCTTTTCCAATACTTTTCTAACTGATAACAGTAGTTCAGCCGAGATATTTTAATAAAACATTTAGTTTTACAGCCCCTAAGTTTTTTTTTTTATCATTTTGATGTCTTGCCCTCCATCGTTTCACCAATCAAGAAGTCTGTGAAACGGGTTGCCAGAACTCACAGCATCGAGCTAATGTCATGTGGCCGCAGAACTAAAAAAGGTCCTGTTCAAATTATTAATGACAATAAAAGGAAAAAGTCGAGGATTTCCATCGGGGCCTTTGTGAAAAAGATGTTGGTTATAGAATCGTTATAGAATCTAGTTTTTATGGCCTCAGCTGGATTCGTCTGCACATCTGGCAACCTGAGGGACTATCAGGGATAGTGGGAGCAGCTATACTGTATGCAACAATTGTATTTCGTAAATTGTTGCCATGTTTTGCGTCTGGATCATAAACCGAGTATTAGGACTGGACTGACCGTGTGCTGACGTCACTCTAGCGTTAGCACAAAGTGAGAAGAAGCTGATTTGAACTTAAGCTAGCTGGAGCCATGTTTCCTTATATGGGCAATTATTTCAAAAAACGTTTAGTACTGTAAAACCATCTTAGAATCTGTGTTATCAATCTGGAGTCCATCCATCCATCCATTTTCTACCCTTTAATCCATTTCTGGGTCAGGGGGGTGGCAGTCAGAGATGCCACCCAAGTCTCATAGCACCAGCCCCTCACTGACCCTCTGCAGGTGGTGAGTCCACAGGAGGACGGCTGCTCTCTGAGTGTGAGCATAGCCTTGATCTTCCAGCGGGGGCTTTGGGCAAAGTGGGGTTAAGTGTCTTGCCCAAGGACACAACGACAGCAGTCATCAGTGGGAGTCGGTTGAGAAGGTGTAGAGGTGGGAATTGAACCCACGACCTTCAGGCCTGAAGGCCAATGCTCTACCAACTGAGCTACTGTCGCCCCGCCAATCTGGAGTCTCCCCTGCAAATGAAGGAATCTGATAGGTCAATTCTCATCTGGATTTACAAAGACAAAATAAGGAAAAAAAAGAGAAATGGTAAGTGTGACACAGGGGGTTACTGAGCTAGAGGAGTTTAGAGGAGAGAGTTGGAGCAAAACTTTGTCCATGAGCACTTCCTTTTTGAACTACATACAGCTAGTGGGTTATCATTGTCTGTCGACGCACAGTCTATGGTTTTGACACAGTGAAACTAATGCACAGGTCTTTTCAGGAGAGTGTGATGGAGGCCACGGGGAAGTACGAGTTCAAAGGCAGCGAACAAGAGGAGCTCAGCTTCCGGAAAGGAGACATCCTCAAGGTTGGTTCAAAACAGTGATCGCTACATCATTCACAGATTCAGATTCTGTTTGTTCAACATTTGCAGTTACAATGTTACAATAGGCCAACCCTGAACAGAACAAACCTGCAGGTACAGTATACAAATGCACTCAAGTCTTGAATTTAGGACACCGAACTAAAAAAAACAAAGGAAGTTGGCCCATAACCATTGATGCAATTTAGCATAATATGTTCCTGCTATTTGAAGTAACTGATGGCGACTACAATGCAACACGTTCAATTCAATTCAATTAGATACTTTATTACGGACACAAGAGTAAAAGGTCCATAAAACACCTTCAGAAAAGGCATGCATTTTGATAATAAAGTTTGTTGTTCCAGATCCTCAGCCGAGAAGACGAGTGGTTCAAAGCCGAGATGAACGGACACGAGGGATTTGTGCCGCAGAACTACATTGAGTTGAACACTCCCAGGTAAAAGATCAGGTCACTTTACCTGCTGATATTATTACTGATGTAGATGATCGGTAAATACTTCTGAACCACGTGCAATTCTAGCTCCAGAGTTTATTTTATTTTATTCTATTTTAGAATCTTATTTTAATTCTATTGTCTATTATCTTAAAAATGGACTCTGTTTGATGTGTGAAATCTGAGTGTTCTTCTTTCCCTCTTTCTCTGCTGTTATAACACTGACATTTTATCTTATCTAATTAAACTAACTGTCATAGCCAAACTCAGATTCAGCCCGGATCCAGTCGAAACAGTTACACAATCCTAGGTAAGACTGCAGAACTGAAATGGTCCTCTAAAGGTTCGAACACCCCTAATCTTAATCTTAATCTAAACCCATTGACTGCCATTGAGGTATTTGTCTGAGACTCTATATTTGACTGGGGATTACAGGACAATAAAAATGGCTAAAAACAAACTTATTTTTGCTGATGATAGTAGACAATCCAGTCTTTCAGAATCTGGTTTCATATTTCACATAGTCTTAGTAAATAATATTCTGCGGGTCTTGAGAATCAGTGAAATCATAAAAAAACGGCTGGCAGTCAATGATTATCTTAAAAATTGCAAATCATAAAAAGACATATATGTTTGAATGCAATATCTCAAAATCACTGCTAATACCGCTACATGCTAGTAGCGATGTAGTAGGGTGGCACGGTGGCTGAGTGGATAGTACTCTCGCCTCTCAGCAAGAAGGTCCTGGGTTCGAATCCCGGTCGGACCAGGGCCTTTCTGAGTGGAGTTTGCATGTTCTCCCCGTGTCTGCGTAGGTTTCCTCCGGGTGCTCTGGTTTCCCCTATCACTAAAAATATGTACAATAGGTCTGGCATGCGCCTCCTGTTCGGCGACCCTGCTCCCATCTGTGTGGAGCGAGAGGACAAGTGCCCAAAAATAATAACAATTGTAAACCGCTTTGTGACTCTGGTCTGTCTGTATATAAATAAAGATTACTTACTTACTTACTTACTAGTTGTGATTATTATCCTCATCGTTTTAGTTTCAGTGTTTTATGTGCGGTTCCAGGTGGTTCCAGGAAAGTGCCAATCGAGCGCGAGCCGAGGAGCTGCTCCGGTTCCAGGACGTGGGAGAGTTCGTGATCCGCGGCTGCCAGAGTTCACCAGGAGAGTTCTCCATCTCTGTCAAGTAAAGCTCCCGCTACTGAAGCTGGTTTTAGCCTAACACAAACTGACCGTCCCCAACTCTGATTGGATGAGTGAGGATCGAGGTTCTTTCTTTTTCACTGAGGTAGTAAAGATTTGTGACAGAGGCCAAAGTACATGTAGGAGTCCTGGGTCCGAACGTGGGAGTGGATTTCTCTCTCACTATTGGCCTCTCGGAGATTTCTCACTTCTGTGCAGTGGGTTTTATTTAACCGTTCCTTGCCGCTGCAGGAGAGTCTAAGTGATCTACAGTGATAGATTATTATTCTATTACGGTATAAAGAGTAATCGTTCATTTATCTTGTGCTCCTCGTTCCTACTGTTCTGTAACTGGTGATGCAACACTGACATTTCCCCAAGCATCTCTTCATCTCAATGATCCAGGACATTTAACGTGGTAATTTGTAAGATTTTTATGTCAAGTCATCATTAAAGGGCCCTAATCTGTCAAAAGGTTTTAATAAACCATGCTCTTTTAGAATAATTCTTGAACTAATAACAGTAGTTCAGAGATATTTGGATTTCAAAAAATTTGTGGGGGTTTGGGTTTTCATTTTGATGTCCCGCCCTCCGCCGTGTAACCAATCAGAAAACCTGTGATCCGGGTTGCTAGAATTCACGGCGTCGAGCTAATCTCGCTGGTAAAGTAACATGTGGCCGCAAACTAAAAAAGGTCTCGTTATGATTTTGACATCAGTAACAACAAAACATGGAATAAAACCAGGATTTCCATCTTTGTGAATAAGGTGTTGGTTTTAGATTTGTTGTTGACAAAACTCTTGTCTATTCAGCTATTACGATCCCAGCTGGATTCGTCTGCATATCTGGCAACCTGAGTCAGGGAGAGTGGGAGCGTTTGCAGTATAACATTTGGCCAGATTTTCACATTCTGCTCATTTAAGGACATGGTCATCCCGCTGCCCATGGACCTTTGTTAGCATTGCCTTTCTAACGTTTGAACTGTTTGATTCTCTAATCTGTTGTGGAGGAATTTACAACTTTGTACAGTCCTCCGAGGCGACTGCTTTTGCGACACACACAAATGCATTGAATAGAATCAAAAAACGAGTTATAGATGTTTTTTTCTACTTATTTCCATGTTTGTGGTCTGAAAGTTGTTACCGCAGGAGAAAAGGCCTCCCACTGTCGGTCTATTTTAAAAACAGCCAAAAAGAGTATTCACTATATTCATAAAAAACAGTAAAAAAAATAAGTCAATGCAAAAAGCTGCTGCTGTACAAGTTTAAATGACTTTTCTCTGCTGTGTTTTGGTCTTGCACATGTTTTACAACTGGCAAAATAAAAAAGTATGAGTCTTCAGCGAATGCAAAAGCAAAAGTAAAGAAAAGTGTTCATTCATCAGATCTGAGGAAACGTACAAACATGTTGAATGAGTGTTTGGGGAAGTGTTGCCATGGAGACGTTTCCGCTGCTCTCACACTGTTATCTGCAAACGCTACACACTTGTGCTGATGGTGGCGATAGGAAGTGACTGAATCTCAATAAGAAAATTAGAAAAAGTCCCATCTACAGTATACTTTGAAATATGGTACATTAGGGGATGCTAACCGATGGTGATGCTAACCATGGTTTTCCTTGAACAGATAATAATGCATAATAGTCATTATTCATACACTCCATACACAGTGGAGATACTACTGTAGCCAGAGACCTGAGGACCATAGACCCGAGGACCAGAGACCTGGGGACCATAGACCTGAGGACCATAGACCCAAGGACCAGAGACCTGAGGACCAGAGACCTGAGGACCAGAGACCTGAGGACCAGAGACCTGAGGACCAGAGACCTGAGGACCAGAGACCCGAGGACCAGAGACCTGAGGACCATAGACCCAAGGACCAGAGACCTGAGGACCATTGACCCGAGGACCAGAGACCTGAGGACCATAGACCCAAGGACCAGAGACCTGAGGACCAGAGACCTGAGGACCAGAGACCTGAGGACCAGAGACCCGAGGACCAGAGACCCGAGGACCAGAGACCCGAGGACCAGAGACCCGAGGACCAGAGACCTCTTTCTTTTTCTTTCATATGGAACACGCATATATTGAACATATTTCGGAGCAAGACCATTCAGTGCGTTGTTCACAGAGAAACATATTTTTATCTAAAGTCTCTTGTATAACCGATTGGAGGCCGGTGTGATGTCACATGTTTGTATGAGTGAGGTGACTGTGCTCCACAGACGAGCAGGTGCAGAACTCTCCTCATTCTTGCACAAGACCTTTGTACTGAACCACATTGTTAGTTTCACTTTTTTAGTTTGAGTTCCTGCTTTTTGCGGTTTGGACCCGGCGTCTGTCTGACTCACTCCTCACAACTGAAACTGCAGTGGGGCTGTGAGAAGAAGATTGTATTTTAATTATTTACTATTTAAAGTTCAACACTATTTGGGAGCAGCTGTGCTTGAGACTGAAGCTAAATGAAAGAAATTAATCCAAGAAACGGAGCATCGCTGGGCCTGGCTGCAGCTTTGTGTTACATATACACACATCTTCACCCCCACCACTGTCAGACTGTACAATAAGTTGAAGAGATCCTTTATTTGTCCCACAGTGGGGAAATTTCAGTGTTGCATCACAAGTTGCAGAACAGCAGGAATGAGGAGCGCACAGCACAAGATAATTGATCAATAGCTATACTAATTAAAATAAATAAAATCTCTAACTCCAGCATCAAAGAATAAAATCTCTATCTTGAAAATAATAATGTTAAAACAGAAGTATAAAAGTTAAAAATATTAATTCATTTTAAGTCACTAATGACCTGCACTAGGACTGAAAATAACAGCATATTGTACATAATTACATCCTGCACAGACAATATTTTTATCCTTAACATGTTTGCACACTGTCTTTTGAGGATTTAGGGTGTAGTTACAGGACTGAAGCCGTAGATCCAGGACTGATGTTGAAGATCCAGGACTGAGGCTGTAGATCCAGGACTGAGGTTGAAGATCCAGGACTGGGGCTGTAGATCCAGGACTGAGGCTGTAGATCCAGGACTGAGGCTGTAGACCCAGGACTGAGGCTGTAGATCCAGGACTGAGGCTGTAGATCCAGGACTGAGGCTGTAGATCCAGGACTGAGGCTGTAGATTCAGGACTGAGGCTGTAGATCCAGGACTGAGGCTGTAGATCCAGGACTGAGGCTGTAGATCAAAGACTGAGGCTGTAGATCCAGGACTGAGGCTGTAGATCCAGGACTGAGGCTGTAGATCAAAGACTGAGGCTGTAGATCCAGGACTGAGGCTGTAGATCAAAGACTGAGGCTGTAGATCCAGGACTGAGGCTGTAGATCAAAGACTGAGGCTGTAGATCCAGGACAGGCTGTAGATCCAGGACTGAGGTCACAATCTGAGTGATTCTATCCATACAAAATGTGACATGTAAATTTCTCCATTGTGAGATGAATAAAGTTTATCGTACCTTTTCTCATAATTCGTTACATTGTTGAGATTTTTGCGGAGCTACCTGAAAGGAGACGCCGAGCTACAGGTTGGAGATCCCTGCTCTAACAGACTATTAATCTTAAATACTGTATGTGATTTATGTAAATGGCAGACTTAAACATTTCAAAATCTCTCTAGCATGATGTAATCGGTTTTAAAATGGTTTTGCGCTTGTAAACTTCAAGAAATTTCCCATATTTCTTCCATTACTGCCTTTTCATTATTGTAAAGGCAACTTATAAACTCAAAATGGCTAAATATAGAGCACCTTTACTTTACTTTTAAAGCATGTGCCAACTCACCAAAAATAGTCACAAATAGATAAAATAACTTGCATATACTTTATACACATTATAAAAAACTACACTATATTCACAGTACTAATCCCCACCTATTAAACACCTCATATTTCTGCCTCGAAACAGACAGACACACACAAATACAGACACACACACACACACACACCTGGCTGCCTTACAAATATGCGCTTGTTCAAATTTCACACATCATCCTCCCATCAAACCACATCTGACTCGTAATGACTCAGAGAGAAGAGGAACTGGCTGTAGTTCTAAAAAATGACCAACAGGGGGCGACCTATACTCAGAAACCACATCTACATATGACAAATCTCAAATGTATACATGGAACGTGAAGTGAAGACTGTAAACTACGTATGTTATTAAACTGTTGGCTTTCACATGTATGTATTGGCACATTTTTAGATTATATTTTCCATCCAATCAGCCAAAAATAGTTCAACTCAAAATCAATTCAGTTTCTTTTTGTACAGCCCTAAACCACAACAGGAGTTGTCTCGGGACTTTACAATGTTATTGATCCACCAACAACTGATTAGAACACAGGAATAGCAAAAATATCAAACACACCATAGGGAGCGGGACGACCCCTGTCCATGAATGTCCTGGATCATCACTGTCCTTAGACCCTCCTGAATCAGCAAGGAACAAATCTAAAAACAAAAACTTGGGCTGTAGATCCAGGACTGAGGCTGTAGACCCAGGACTGAGGCTGTAGATCCAGGACTGAGGCTGTAGATCCAGGACTGAGGCTGTAGATCCAGGACTGAGGCTGTAGACCCAGGACTGAGGCTGTAGATCCAGGACTGAGGCTGTAGACCCAGGACTGAGGCTGTAGATCCAGGACTGAGGCTGTAGATCCAGAACTGAGGCTGTAGATCCAGGACTGAGGCTGTAGATCCAGGACTGAGGTTGTAGATCCAGGACTGAGGCTGTAGATCCAGGACTGAGGCTGTAGATCCAGGACTGAGGCTGTAGCCCCAGGACTGAAAAAGATACCATGATCTCTAATAGGATGAAGACAGCATACTGTGGTCTGACTCCTTTTGTTCAAAACTTTCCAAGAATAAAACAATATACTGTTTACATATAATTTAAGTTCCTTTTACTAAACTGTCTTTACTTTTACTGTCTCGATTAAACACTGTATCCTCTGATTTGGTTTCCTCTCTTTCAGACACGAGACGGACGTGCAGCATTTCAAAGTGATGCGCGACAACAAGGGCCAGTACTTCCTGTGGTCAGAGAAGTTCACCTCTTTGAACAAACTGGTGGAGTTCTACAAGACGACCTCCATCTCCAAAACGCGGGAAATCTTCCTGAACGACGGCACACCTGGCACCCGCAGCCCCGCCTCCGCCCAGCCGGTCAGAACAGCTTCCAAATGTCCCACGAGACAGTCTCAAAAGTCAAAAATCATGTTGTATAGGAGCTCAAGTTTTAGATTCAAGATTCCGTGCAGTAAAACCCCATTGGAATAACTGAGTCAAGTCAATAATCTGCATATCAACTAACACTACAGAGATTTAGTAAAACACATGCATTTTGTGTGTGATGACGAATGTGGTTCCATGCAGACAAAGCTGTTATGTGAACTTAGAAGCATGGCTAACCACATTAAATCAAGGAACTTGGAAGGAGGGTCGCACGGTTTCGGTAAAACATCTGTACCGTATTTTCCGGATTGTAAGCCGCACCTGATTATAAGCCGCAGGCCCTTTTTTTCTTTAAATAGTTAGAATTTTGTACTTGTATAAACCGCACTGGATTATAAAACGCTGTATTCCCACATTTGAATATTGAATAATGTGTGAAGCAGAAAGGTAAGGAACAACATCTACAGGTTGTTTACAGGATATTATGAGATATATACGCAAAGATATTATTCGTGAGGACTTTTAAACTTTATTAAATCTTACAATTTTTTGGACCTCTGTGTTCTACTCATCAATTCTGTTGGTCTACTGCCAGAAAATAAATTATAATAATAAGCCGCACATTACTATAAGCCGCAGCCTTCAAAATGCAGGAAAAAAGCTGTGGCTTAAAGTCCGGAATTTATCGTATTTGTGATGTTTCTGAGCAACTTTGTGATTTTCTTCTTTAAAAAGTCTAATTAGGTTCAAAGTGAAAATAACGACTGCAAAGTTATTGAAGTCGTTTTTTTATCTTAAACATGCATAAACTCTTGAATTATGACAGGTTACATAAATGACAAAAAAAAACATGAGACTTAATAATGTTTTTACCCGACAAGATGTTAAATTATAGCAGTATTTGCTGATTGCGGTAAAATGTGCAGCCCTACTTAGAAGCTTGGCTAATCAAATGAATGAATCTTGATTGGACGCATGTCAATTATGAGCTTTTTATTTGAAGTGCCAAGTACACAATGTAGCACTTTACATCCTTGAAGGAGCTGGATTGTTTAATTACTAGTTCTTTGGGTAAAAATCAGTTGGGGGAGGTCCCGGCTCCAAAGGGTCCGTGAGCATGTGCGGTGACATACTTGCAATCTCACTCCGGGCCTGTGGGGGTGTTTCTTTCCTCCCCAAAACGGCTTTACAGGACTGTCCAAAAGTGGCTCTTGGCCCAAAGCTACTCACCAGTTGTGTGTCAATGCTGAAGGGAGTATTGTTTTTTGGACCACTCGAGTAAGAAGGTCTTAGGTTCGGATCTCGGTTGGAACATGGCCTTTCTGAGTGGAGTTTGCATGTTCTCCCCATGTCTGTGTAGGTTTCCTTTGGGTGCCACCATTAAAAACATGCACAATATGTCTGACTGTAATGAGTGAGTGAATGGAGGGTGTTGGTTGAGGGCTTTGATTCTCCAGTGTGTCCGGTCTCGCTTGTGTCATCATCGTGTGTGGAGTGAATGAAACAATATCTGAACATCGTAAAGCGCTTCGGGTGACCTTGGTCTGTCCAAATGTGCTACTGTATATATAAATAAAGATTACTTACCAATCGGAGACAGTAAAGGAATATCTTATCTATTCCATACCCACTGAGTACACGGTTAACCATGCTGCTTTCTGTTTCCTCAGATCAAAAGAGGAAGTCTCCCGGAGCCTCGCAGCTCTCCGGCCCCCAGCACGGCTCCTCGGAGGGCCTCGGACCAGCCGCACAGCCACATGGTAACGCTCCACTTCAGCTCATTCCAAAACACTTAAGAGACTTCTTATCGAGCCGCGGAGACAGAAGATCGATGGCGGACTCTGCTCTGCCCTTGAGACTCAGACCCCTGTGTTTGTGCAGAGGCTGGGACCGCTTTAAGTGCAGACTGTGGCTGTAAAGCTGGGGTACACAACTCCCTGGTTTCACAAACACATCAAAAATAATCCATGTGCTGTATGCAAGGATGGCTTGGGGTCAATGGGCTTGGCGGGCTTCGTCCTCCCTGTAAATTAGTAGAACATTTTGAAAATATATCTGTTATTTTAGTATATTTGTAGTAGATTATTGTATATCTGTTGTTTTTGTATTCATTCACTTTTGTATTTAATTTTTCACTGGGATTGTCTTAAGTCAGGGGTGCCTTAAGACAGGGGTGCCACTTGGATTGAAAAAGTGGCACACAACCTGGATTGAAAAACTGTTTAATAAGGTTGACGTTGACTACACTAGCAACTCATTTTGTGCCACAATCAAAAATAAGTAACTAGTATATACAAAAACAAGCTTTACAACAAGAAATAACATACATAATGGAAGAGCTGAAGTTGGCTGTATGACACTGTGAACTGGTATCTTTGATATTGTGTGTTAGCGCAAGGCAGAGGGCCAGATAACGTGACACAGAGGGACGCATTTGGCCCACGGGCCTGAGTTTGGATGTGCCTGTCTTAAGTAAATGATGGGAATATTCACTATTGGTTCAAAAGGTTTTTCTGTTTAGTTACGCAGTGATAGCTGTAAATTACTACATGATTAAATAAATAAAAATATTTATAGCCCCAAATGAATTTAAATGCATGTATGAATAGAGAGTGGAATAAGTAACATGTTGTGAACAAATCAGACCAGAGCGCGCAGCCTTCATCTCATTAGAAGGTTATTACAGTATCCCTGCTTTTATAGAGGGTTGTCAAACTCATTCCAGTCTTGAGTCCAGCCTTACTGTAACCTTTTATACATTTAATAAATACCCGGCTGCAAACACAGACATATGATTCTAACCAACTTAATTTCACCTGATACATTTCCAAAACAGATTTAGGGTCAATACTTTTCTTTTATAATGCGGAAAAGTGCTCTGAAGGTGATGTCATAGTGGTCAAATGTCTTCATACTGCTACAGGATTGAGACACTTAGATTAAGAGATCTTTTATTTGTTCCAAAGTAGGGAAATTTCAGTGTTGCATCGCATTTTATAGAACGATAGAAATGAGCAGCACACAGCACAAGTGAATATGATGTAAACAAAAGGGGCGGGGTTACATACATGTGCTTAAACATACACAGACCTCTTTAACTTCCTGTTTTTGATGAGAACAATGTTGGAACGAGATTAAAAGCTAAAAAAGGCTATTCTGCAACGTATGAATAATGTGTGGTTATGTGTTTTTTTATCAAATCTGTTCCCTGAATGCATTTGTCTCCATGTGTGTTTGCAGGCGGGGCGGCTGGGCCTGGAGGAGCGCGCACACACCATCGGACACAGCGCCCGCAGCCACAGTCCCATGAGCGCCGCACTACCTCGGAGACCGTCCGAGCCTCTGCCTCCTCCTCCTCAGGTCTGCACCCCACACTCTACTAAACATCATCCAAGAGCAATTTCTAAAGACAGGTCCAAATGTACAACTAACAAAAAAGCATTAAGAAACATCAGTTACATTAAAGGAGCAGTATGTAAAAATCTGGCCAAAAGTGGTACTGCAACCTCTCCCACCCTCCCTGACTCAGATATGCAGACCAATCCAGCTCGGACCATAATAAAACAAACTGAATAGACAGAGTTTTGTCAACAACAAATCTATAACACCGTTCTTACAAAGATAGAAATCCTCGTTTTATTCAATTTTTTGTCATGAATGATTTGAGAATCCTAACGAGACCTTTTGTAGTTCTGCGCCCACATGTTGCTTTACCAGTGAGATTAGCTCGACTCAGTGAATTCTGGCAACCCGGGACAAGGACTTTCTGATTGGTTAAACATCGAAATGAAAACAATAACAATATTTAAGGGCTTTAAAAGTTATTTTGAAATTTTAATATCTCTTCTGAACTACTTATTTTATCTGTTAAAGAAGTGTTAATGTATAAAAAGAGCGTGGTTTATTAATGCCTTTGGACATATTAGGACTATGATGACTTGACATGAATATCTTACATATTGCTACTTTAACTTCATAAAGATAAGAGTATTGAGCTTAAAACAAAATGGGGGTTTGAAATGAGGTAAATAGATCAATATGGATTATTTTGTATGCAGAGCTAAACAGATATGTTTTCATCCTTGTTTTGAACATGGTCAGGGTTAAGGACCGTCTCTCATCCTCTGGAATATTCCATCTTCCATATTTGCATATTTTGTCCTTTATTAAATATTTGCATTGACGCTAGTTCTTCTTAATTACCCTGATTAATTGTTTTGGTAGATTAGTTCTGCTTTTGCCTGACCACGTCCCCCGTCGTGCTCTGGTCTCTAGAGAAGTGTTTGGAGACATATTATTTATTTAACCTTTATTTAACCAGGAGAACCTCATTGAGATTAATAATCTCTTTTTCAAGAGTGTCCTGGACATATACAAATTTTTTTTTTTAGATAAGCAGACCTTTTAGGGATTTTATGAGCTTTTAAGCCCTTCATGATTCTTTTCTTTGATATTTTATGTACTGTATTTTGCTTTGTTTACTTTGTTTGTTTGTTGTAATTTCCTGGAAGTGTAAGTTGCAAAATCAATAAAATGTATTATAATTATAATAATTATTATTATTATTATCATTATCATTATTATTATTATTGTTAAGTACGTCTCAAGTGTGAGCCAAGGTGAAAGGCCCCTCGTCTTTGTTGATGGTCGCCGCCTCCTGATTGCAGTCGCCTCTTCTATCCATATTTTGTATTTGTGTTCTTCCTTTCGCTCTAAAAGCATTGTGCATTTATGATTTTCTCTGTTGCAGTAGTCAGACATTGCTCATTCGAGGTACACACAACTTTAAACGCTATAACCATCTGCTTCACTCTCGTCTCCAGCGCTCGACGACGCAGGTGCGAGCTTTGTACGACTTCATGGCGGAGGAGGGCGACGAGCTGGAGTTCAGAGCCGGAGACGTGATCGAGGTGTTGGACCGCAGCGACCCTTTGTGGTGGAAGGGGAAACTGCGGGGAAAGAGCGGCCTGTTCCCGTCCAACTACACTGAGCTGCTGTGACCAAAGCTACAAAGTCCCACGGGCCTTGAACGCACCACCGAAGGAGCAGCAGCAGTAGAAGAAGAAGCAGAGAGAGATTGGAGTCTGGAACTAGTGTCTGCACAGTCTGACAATCTCTACAATCTCTACATTCTTGAGAATTAATATGAGCTACATTTTTTATACTATATAGAATTTTGTGACCGTTCAAATCAACAATATTTAACAAATATTACAGTCAAAGGAACAACATTTTCTGTGAATAAAAAGAAACAACTTATGCAACTGTATACTATCCCTAATACTTATACTTCTGTGGCATCAAAGAATTCCAAATGTTGTTGTTTTATATAATTGTATATTTTTTGCTAAAAAGTTGGGCTGTACTGAGGCTTTATATTTGTGGGCTGTAACTGAAGTTAAAAGGAACTTTGTTTATTACTATATTAAAGTATCTTGTTATAGTGACTAAATCATTTAAATTACTCTGCATTTTGACTCACCACTGCACTCCACCGGTCCCATTCACATGAAGTAGTAGTAGTAGTAGTAGTAGTGGCAATAATACATTTTGTGACAGAAAAAGTAAAATGTAAATCTGACAAAAAATACACACAGATTATTTTCATTGTATGGTTTCATTCTGTTGTGGTTTGAAAGTTAGGTACCCCAGCTTTAAGTCGAGGATCATGAAGCTATTGACTCGAGAGGATATTACCGCAGAATAGAAGAAGTTGTTGTGACCTACATTGCAGACATGTGTCGCTTTGGCAGAATGAAGCTGTCACTTCTAACAGCCTCGGTCCAAAGTTATTGTTAGACCAGGAAGGGGGGGAAATATACAGTCTTTCAAAATAAAACGGACAATAATCGGACACATCCAGACTACATTTTGTATTGTATTTTTTTATTTTTACTAATTGTGTAACTTGCATGGTTTGATGCGAGTGGGGGACATATGTGGTGTGGATTTGAGAAGTAGGAATATTTTCTTGAAATTTAGTTCTGTAGTAATATTAGCCATGACAGTAATAGTGGCAAAAACGGTGGTATAGCGTTCAAGACTTTTCTGGTGGGGTCTAATGCTTGCTCGTTTCCAGGGAGAATATTTAGCTTGGTTTTGGTTGAGTTTATTAATTGTCTAAAATGTTTATGTTCTTGGTACAAACCGGAGCTGGAGAATTACCTACTGTTATTATATTATTTTTTAATATTGAATCAATTATATACTATATTTCCCTAACCCATATTTACAATACAATACAATACAATTTATTCTTGTATAGCCCTAAATCACAACAGAAGTCATCTCAGAGACTTAACAAAACCATTGAAATCACCAACACAGATCAGAGAATCAACAGTTGAAACACAAAAAGAACATAGAACACATGTTGATAAATGTCCATACATGTTGTAGAATGTTAAAGTGTCCTGGATCATCACCACAGTCTTTCTAGTTTGGACACTAACTGCCCAACAGACCCTCCTGCATCGGCAAGGAAAAACTCATGAGAAAACCCAGTGGGAAAAAGTGAGAAACCTCGGGGAGACCCATAGTTTGAAAAAGGGATCCGCTCCCAATATATTTGTAGTGGTAGGGGAAACCGTAGAACCATGGATGAAACTTATGCATACATGAGGAGAACATATAAACTCAATTCAGAAAGATGAATCAGACCAAGTTATGACCAGGATTCAAACCCATGGGGCGTTTTGCTGAGAAGAAAGAATGCTAACCCCAGCCCTAACCAGATTTTAGTTCACTGCTCAAGAACCTGAATTCTTAGATTGATTTGACTCGCCTCTCGCTTTTACATGTCCCAGAGGTTATTATGTGTTGAATTTGCATGTTCGTTGTGTCTCAGTTGTAGGCTAACTTACTATTACCAAATCGTCTTTGATATTTGCATTGTAAGCATCATGTTCTGCACCTCGGGACAATCACTGAAAGAAGCTGCAGTAAAGTTGTCAACTGAGAAGGAAACCAGTTTGACACCTTTAAAAATAATCTATCACTTTAAACTTCCAGTCTCAGTGTTGTTATGCTCTAAAACAGCAGAGATTCTCGCCATCTGCTGGACGTTTAGCGAAACTGCACCATTTTAACGATACAGGGCACACACAAATACAACAATTACAAAAACTTGTATAAGCTTTGGTTTTTTTATATTTCAATTATCTCCAAATGTCCACGGAAGCTAATATTAGTCTCTTTTTTCCTCTTTTCTATTTTGATTCATCTTCTTGTGTGTATAAGCTCGATGGTATGTGACCCCCACAGTCTGCATGGCATTACGATCATTCATAAATCTTACAGAGAATATCCTGCACTTCTCAAAACCCTATGTGTGATTTTAAACCTGATTCTTTATGCTATTTTGAAGCATTTTTATTTTTAAAGGCAGGGCATGGATCGGGCTCCTTTCAGGGTTGCCTCGCTGTTTGACATAGAGACCACAGAGACAAGCAAATTCACTTTCATTATTTTGACAGACACTTTTCTCTGTTTCTATATGATGTGGGAAACAGAGATAAAGGCTGTTTCATTTTGGGCCTCGAAAACAACTTGCAGTATTATTTCCAATGTGCTGATATGAACAGAAGAAGCGGATCCACATTTCTGTATTTGTTGTTGGCTTTGAAGTGAAAAGCTTTGTAGACTTCATCTTGATCTGTTTTCAGAAGTCGTCTGGAATCATAAAGTCAACAGCAGCAGATGAAAACATGAGCTGGCCAATGTCCTTTTTACAGTAAGAAGAAAAACAATCTGTGTGACATCATTCAAGATGATTAACCGTCACAAAGAAACTCCAGATTGTTGCAGAAAAGTTAGTGCAGGGATTTCAGTTTTGTGGCACGGTACAAGAACAATCATAGACTACATATAGATGGACAAAGCTAATCCCCCAGCTCAATGATGCCCAATAGGGAAGTGATCATGGCTGAAGTTTTGCTCCCTTTGACTTACATTGTCATAAGTATATACAGTAAGTCCTCTACCTCACTACCAGTTTATGCAACATTCAAGAAAATAATCTCTCTGTGATGGTGTTGATATTGTGATATTGTCTTTGTTCAGGAGCAGTAAAACTTAAAACTGGATCCACATTTTCGCTCGAATAGGCTGTTTGAGTTAGCTCTGAACTGCTTCTTCTACATTAAGGCAAATACTCTGGGTGGACTGTAGAGTTTAGAACCAAATTTAGAATCTTTCATGTAGCATGGAAAGCTACATGGCAAAAAGTGATTGAAAAATATGTCAAATTGCAAAAAAATTGGCTAAATGTATTGGTAATTTTAGCACATTTTGACTGCCTTAAAACAAGATTTCCAATTGGGACAAAGCAAAATTCACTGGTTTTAAAAATATACAATAAATGTCTCCTTTGGAATGAGAAAATAAATCAACAAGTTCTTAAAATAATAGCTTTGTCCCATTGGCATATCTTGTTTTAAGACAGTCAGAATCTGCTCAAATTAAGATAAAAAGCACTCGATTCAAGCAATTACTACCCTCTATAGAATTATTATGATTATTATTATAATTTTCTACATTAGTATCATATCAACCAAACCAAACTCTATTTAAGTTTATACCTTTTGAATAATTCTGCTGATTTTCATATTCAACTATTGTCCCACTGACTGTAACTGATACCTTTCATTATCCTATCATCATGTATCATATTAAAACATTATTAGCCCCAAAAGTAATTTTAAGTTAGTTTTGCGCTTCAAGTTAATCACTGCTTTTGTTCTGATCCAAACTGATTAAAAAACATAAAAAGATGGCTTCAATAGCTTATTCCTGGAGCACTGTGGCAGCACGTCTGAATAGTCTTTTGACACAGGTGACAATGCCATGGATTAGCCCATCCATTGTTTATGATTGCACCCCACAAATTAATTCATTATACTCATTATTATAGTCATTAAAACTATTTTTGCAGTCCACAGAATGTTGAATGAGGAGCCACAGCTTTAGTTTAGGCCTGTGAAGATAAAGAGTCATTCAATACAGCTGTAATAGATCAGCGGAGGAAAGTATAACAATAATAATAATAATAATAATACATGTTTAATTATAATGCATTTTACATTTCCACAAAACCTCAATGCTCTACAGAATGAAAGTCAATAGAAAAAAAACACATTAAAAATACATCAAAATAGAAAAAAAATACATCAATTAGTGGGAATAGGAAAGTTTGTATCTTTAGGAGAGAGAAGTACAGAACTTAATAAAAATACAACACAAACTACAGTACCAGCTGGGGACCCATACAAGCCACAAACAATAACACTATGATACTATGGCGAGGTATAAGGCACGTTTATTTATATATCTCAGGCCATACACAGCATGTTTGAAGTTTATTATGAAAGGCACACACCCACAAACACACACACATATACAGACACGACCGAAGCCCCGCCCCCCAGTGCCACCTGAGCTCTGCACCTGACGCACGCAGACGCACGCAGACGCACGCAGACGCACAGGTACAGCACCTGCTCAGCAGCCCGGGACATAGAAGAGAGGAGCAGCGCAGGGAGCAGGGGCCATGGCGGAGTCTCAGCTCTTGGTGATGGACGACGAACACGTGAACGAGAAGATCCCAGAGTCACGGCCCGAGTTTTACTACAGCGAGGAGCAGAGAGCCGCTTTGGAACAACTTATACGCAACGGCGACGGCGCGTTCAAGATGCGACTGAAAGAGGACAACATCAAAGACTTCCTGTCGGCACGCGAGGTCAAAACACTGGTCAAGGACTTCCAAGAGTATGACACCCACACAGACACCGAGGGGCCCCCGGCAGAGCGCTCCAAGGGCTCCAGCAGCGCGGACAGCGGGGTGCACTCCACCTACTGGCCCGAGATGTCCGACACGGAGATCCCGGCGCTGGACCTGGGCTGGCCCGGGAGTAGTGGTCATTACAAGGGGGTGACGCGCGTACACATGTACACGCACCCGCCTAAGGAGCCAGGACCCCACATCAAACAGGTGGTCCGCAAACTCATCCAGGAGGCGCACAAGGTAAGAATGACTTTATATACCACGGTTTCAGAATGTCCACTGAATGTCACGTTATCCACTGTATCTATTCTTACTTATATGTTTTTTTTTACATGGTTACATATCTATCTATAATATATATTGGTATACACTTATTTATCTTATTTTGTGAGGGACTAATACAGGTTCTCTAATCTTAAAACCTGTCAGAACGGGGCCTCAGCAGCAGAATGGTTTAAAGCTGGGGTACCTAAACTATAAACAATCTCACTTTTCTGGCTGTCAAAACAGATTGCTTCTTTCTCTACTTTTCACATGCATGTATCTCTGGCCTCAGTCACTTCTTCCACTCAGCTTTTTCAGACAGAAAAGTAAAAATGAAAGAATCCTACTGACTCAGCTCCCAGCTCAAAACAAGTGACTCAAAGGACTCAAGGGAAATTTATAACATGTGTTCTAATAATCTAATCTAATGCGAGTTGTTTATAACCTTTTATTTTTGCATGAGTCCTGGGGCAAACAACATGTGTTATTTACGGATATAATAATGTAATAGAAGTTAAGTTTTAGCTTTAAGGTAAATAGACTACTTAATAATATATAAAAGATGTGAGAGAGGACTGAACTGACCAAATCGTGTGCATGAAAAGTTCTTTCAGATCACAACAATGTTTTAAATTTTGTAAGTATGTTTTTAGAACTAATGCTGTGAAATGACATAATACAGCTCTAATGAATTATAAAAGAGACCGACAGAAGTTGCTTTTAAAGTGATAGTCTGTAACTCTGAATGAATTACAAATTTTAGGAAATGTGTTGAATTGACCGCCTGGCCTAAATGTTGATATAAAATAAGTAATTTTATTAATTCTAATATTTCGGGCAAGTCCCGCCTTTCCTGCTCTAGCTTTAGCTCAGAATCCATGGTGCCGTCGAGGTTAACCAATCGAGTCATGCCAAGGGCTGTCAATCATCGGCGCTGATGCTCGCAGCTGCTCATGCTCAGTTGTTTGTTTTCGCGGAGCCTCTATTAGGCTCTGGAACAACATGAAAACTGAACAAAGAATTCTGAACATCCGCGCTGAGTTACTTATTTATATACTGAACCTATATCCATAATCATTTATATACTGAACCTATATCCATAATCATTTATATACTGAACCTATATCCATTAACATTTATATGCTGAACCTATATCCATAATCATTTATATACTGAACCTATATCCATAATCAGATCCTCTGCAGATGTGTCCTATAATGTGCAGTTCATGATAATAGCACTTCCTGGTTTTTTTGTGCATAAAAACATAATTTTTTTCATTAAAACGTTCACAAATAATTCTGATAACCTCCGTGCATGTGTATTAATAATGTATATGTATAATGTGTTCTCTCATTAACATTTCAAAGTGTTACGGAAACGTAGGTGTAGACCAATCAGAAAGGAAGGGGGAGGAGCTTGCGTTGTTTTTTTTCAAATCAAGTACCTCTCTTTCTGACAAACTCCAGACAATCACTTTAAGGACTGGAACAAACAAAACTCAGAGATGGAGGCTGTACTGTTATTATTTGACTCGCACCAATCACGCTTGTCCTGTTAAAGTGAAACTGAGGTGAGAAGCAGGACACAGTCTTATCAGAGTCTTCTCACACTCTCTGACCTACTTCAGACAAACGCAGGCGATTGTGTGAGACATTGGATCTGATTGGCCCCTGGGGGTCAGGTGACTGAAAGCGATAGTGACCCCTTCTCCCAGCGCTGTAATGGAAAGTAACTGAAGTTTGTCGGTCAGTACAGTAGTCAAAGGGGGACATCAATTTTTTCCATTTAGGTTGTTTTCCTTTACAGACTCACACGTCTCATTCCCATCGATCAAAAACCCTGGGTCACTCTTTCCTAACACATTGAGCAACGGGGGATTCACAAGGCGGGTTGAGTGGGAACACTATGGCCAAATATATAGCGGCAGTTTAGACAGACATGGGGCATTGGCTTTTGAGCCTGAAGGTCGTGGGTTTGAGCCCACCATGAGACCTTCTCCACCGACTCCCACAAAGATCAAGGCTATACCATAGAGCAGCCATTCTCCTGTGAACTCACCACCTGCAGGGGCTGGTGCTATGTGGACTGGGTGGCACCTCTGCCCCCCCCCCCCCCCCCCCCCCCCCCCCCCCACACACACCAAGAAATGGATTAAGGGGCAGAAAATGAATGAATGGATGGATTAGACAGCCATAAACTCAAACTGTTGGATTGCCCGTTGCTAACATGTGGGTTTGATGATCACTCGAGGGACAATACTTTGGTTGAAGATGAAGGACTTTAGACAAGATTTTTGCATACCAGAGTGACCTCAAAGTTTTATTTTCCATTCAGCCATAGCCTCTTCTTTCAAAGTTTGGGTTTTTGCACACACTGCTCTTTCCTTTGTAAATAATAATAATAATGCATTGCTTTTATATAACGCTTTTTGGACACTCAAAAACGCTTCACATTATTCATTCACTCCATACCCGGTTTATGAAGTTGTCCTGGTATGAAATATGTTTGAAAATGTCTGCCGCTGTGTGCAATAAAGTTAGCTTTTTCCACTTCAACTTTTGAGTTGATTTAGTGTGGGTAACAATGAATTATTTAAATTCTGAATAATATATTCAAGTTCAAAGTAGTATATAAAATATAGGTCCCACACATAGTCTAGAGATATTCAAAAAAGGATGGAATAACTGAGACATGAGATTACTTTGAAAGGCCTACTTTCTCCTCCTCAGTGAATACACATCCTGTTTGAACTCTACTCTATCATTATAGACTCAAATACGCATGTCCTATAAACTAAAAAGTGCCTCTAAGCACCAGTTATGAAACCGCATTATTACGGCAAATGCAAACCTGCGTGACTTAAATTTTTGTCTCGATTAGGGCCATAAAAACAGTTACCAAGCATTAGCTGTTGATTATTGATAGGCCAGTCCCGACACGCCGAGTCGATGCCACATTCTGGAGAAGGAAGCCACCCGCCCATATAAGGAGTTACACCTGTTTTGGCACAAACTGTTAAAACAAAAACCAGTCCAAAATGTGAAGACGATTTTTGTCACATGCCCCAAGGAGATGTCAAGTGATCCGTCAAGCTACTACTGTTACTATGAGCTCCCATTAATCTGTCATTGTGTTTTCATTAACTCACATTGAGCAATTGTCTGCATCATTTCTGTTCATTGTTATGCTAGGGTACTTAACTTTTAAACCACAGTAAGATTACTCAATGTGATAAAAACTAACAAATTAGTTGCACGCTCTCAAAACGGTTTTTATCATACATTCAATCAGCAGAGACTACTCATGATCAAAGATTTTGTATAGTTTATTAGTTTGCCGTCCATGGCCCTGATCGGTGCTCGAGTGCAGATGATGATCCTAGGCCTAAGTACTGTGGTGGCGTCAGAGCGTGCGATGAAATCCTAAGGTGGAGGCCGGAAGGAGGCGGTTGTGGCTCGAAAGGCTGTTTTTCCGGTGTGCAGCGTTCTACTTTTATGCGCTGGCTTGGCTCTGTTATATGTACTGTTATATTTGTACTTCTGTCAGTCTTCCCCACGGCAGCCAAGGGTGAAACGAGGGTGCTTCTTAAAAACAGCAACTTTTTAGGTATAACATAACTCCAATCTTCTAATATCAAAAATAATAATTAGACTAATGAATTCTAATTTGTTCCCTGACTTCTTATTTTTGCAGTTTTCCCATAGAAATCCCTGTAATTTAAGTAAGTGCTGTACAAGGTAAAAGCAGATGTACAATAGAAATAAGACAAAAATAGAAAATAACATATAAACAAGTAATTAACCAAAAGCTGCCCTAAAAAGAAGTGTCTTTAATCCCTTTTTAAAAGCATCGGCAGAGTTGACCACATGGATTAAAATACATATAATTAGTAGACTTAAGACACAGTAATGAAGAAAACCACTAAAACCGACAATTTAGCTTCATGTGTGCCACGATCAGACAGAGTTTATGTCATAACGCGTCCAGGTGTGTCCCTCGCTGTTGCTTTTGTTTTGAGAATCCGATCACACGCTCTTGTTATAACATCACGAGCTGCTTTTACAACACGCCAAACACAATAAATCCAGGCTGAATGTGAACATCGCTCTGGCAGCTGTCTGGAGGGCTCTGTTCAGCTTAGTAACACCTGAGTTACTGCCACTGCGTGCTCTCTCCTCCTCGGCTTCTGTTTCTGCTTCTGTGGGAATGGGGAAGAGCCAGACTGGGTTTTAAAGTGTAAAGTATAGCAGTGTTTTTCAACCAGTCTGTCATGGCTCGTTGGTGTGCTTTGATATGTTTATTAGTCTGCTTTGGAAATAGTCTAATTCACTCATGTGAAAAGAAAATAAGATTAGAAAAAATTTTCTTTGTTCATAAAGGCTGTAGAGTTAGAATGTTTGTATCACTTTCAGTTGATAGTGTGTCATGTGCTGGTTTTAAATTACAAAAGCCGTGTTTCCACTGCAGGAGTTCCTGGTAAAAGGAGCAGGGTGGAACTTTTACTGGAACCATCCTCTTCCTCGACCTCTCAGTGGCTGTGTCTCCACTGCAGAGTAGGACCACTCAGCAACGTCAGGAGTTTCGATTGCTGCATAAGCAAAACTCATTACGCCAAATCAATTTTTTTATTTTAAGGTCGTAACCGCTACGGTTGTTGTGGTCTTTGAGGTTCTTTTTTTAATTGTCCTGCTTAAAGTTTTATAAAACTCTTCACAGCTTGTTTTAGAGTGTGATGAATCCCCAGTGCTTCCAGGTTCCCTGCTAAGCTGCACTAACTGACTTTGAGAAATGTTCAAATCTGAGCGCGGGGCTTTTGGATGGCTGTTTTGCTGAGTAAGCAGTAACCAGTAACGAAGACACGGGAAGCTTCAGGTTAGCCTTCGCCGCTTGTTTACCTCAGCAGTCTGTGCTAACCAGAGACCTGTGGCTTTTCTCAAGAAAGTGGGGGCCATTGGTCCGCTGTGATCGGTCAC